ATATAATATATTAGTCAAATCATTATTTTTTTTCCATTTTGCGAATTGGTGAGAAAAGGACAAATTTAATCTGAATGAATCATGCGTTTCCGCGAATTAAATTGGCTTAAGAGTGATTATCATCATCCAACACAACGAAAAGTATAGTCGGCGAAAACCACTCACAAGACCGTCTTTTTTTCTCATTTATTTTTCTCGCATAATGGACGAGGCGAGGCAATAATTTATAATAGATTTTAGCATCGCATTATACAAACCACACAGAGTCGCACAAAACACTCGGCGGCGCACTCGTGTATTTTTTTAATATTGAGAGAAGGAGACAATTAAAATCGCTGACTCAGACGAGGCATCCTTGGTTGCTTCTTCTTTTCCTTCGTTATTGTGTGTGTGCATATGTATATGTGTGTGTAGAATTTTAGTCCCATACCATATAAACACAGGCACTCCTCAAAAGACACCTGCGATGGTGATTTTTTATTTTGCTCGGGTCAGGGGTCAGCTCGCCAGCTGTTATGTAATATTCCGCGCCAATCGTATCCTATACCTATAATGTGCTTGTTTGATCATTTTTTACCTGCCAGAGACGACAAGAAAATCCATTGAGAGATTGTGGCTCATTCATTTCGCATCGCCGCCAGGAAAAAGCGGCAAAATTTAGCGTAAAATTGGTACTGCCCTATCCAATTAAAAGAGAATTCTTTGAATGCTGACCAATTAATTTTTATATAGGAATTCAAACAAAACAGAGTAGGATTCATTTTTGTTTTTCAATACTAAAAAAAAAAACAAAAGTGTCAAAATATTATCTTACTAGGTGTTTTATTTTATTTGAACAATACATACAAAATTTTTGCACTTTTCTGCATTCAAAAATATTTGAAAATGCTTTTCATCATTGCGGTATAAAATGAAAAAACCTTGATCTCTGAGATTTGAGATTTGTTTAAATCACCAATATCCCTGTGTATCTTCCTAACAAGGAAAGGTTATGCATAAAAAGTTCAACTTTTCCAATTATGTAACTTATAAAAACAATAATAAAGTGCAATATTCAAATGAATTAATCGATGCTGTCTTCAGATTGCTTGAGAAACATTTCTTAATGCTTCTTAATTATATGCAATTTTTAATTCCCACATTGAATCAAGAAATATTATGCAGCTAGGGGCAGTTCATTACATGTTTATTCTAATGGACTTTGCACAACTGCATGCGTATAAAGTGGAAAATAAATTATTGCTTATAACTTGCAATGACTAACATTTAATTATATTATTTATTTGTGATTCCAGTTTTATTCGCTCTTCCTGCATATATTTTTCTTCCAATTAAGGGAAACAATAGAGGCCCGGCCAAATCAAGGCCCATTCATTCAAATTTAATAGGCAAATATTATTACATCGTACAGACCAAATATGACCCTGAAGCCTTCAAAGTAACGTCTGTTTCCTGTTGGTTGCCAATATTTTTGTGTTGCAATTTTTGCCCACGTGGAGATAAATTGGAAATGTTCAAAAAATTTATGTTTTAAAATTATTATTACTGTCGTTATTTTAATTTTAAGACTGCGGAAAACCAAGTACTTGAATTAAAATGATAAATGCACCAAAAGAAGAAAGACAAATTTCTGCCAAAAACTTGAAAAGTTGTAGCGGTGGATGTAAAGACGTGCAATTTATCAACGAGTGCTGAGCTGAAATTTCAAAGTGACACCGAGTGTTACTTTAAATCGCCGCGCAAACCTGTACGCGGGTAGTAACTAATTGTTGCAAAACTGCTCAGGTGACAAAAGGAATATAAGAAAATCTCACAGCCTTGACAAATGTTTCGACGCAGACTTGCAGGCAGGGGAATTTTCCACAGGTGCTCTTCTCGGAGCCGAAAACATTTTCCTTCCAATTAATTGTCGTGGCTATAAAAATTCCGTCCGTTCTGAGAAAGTCAGGTTGAAGCACACATAGGGGTGTGAAGTACGTCAAACGAATTTGAAACGTACAAAGGAAAGGAATTGAACGCAAAAAAGCTCGCGCACGCACGTCGAAGAGATGAGGAAAAAATGGGTGCTGATGCAAATCACGAAATGGATTTAGCACCTCGGCTGCCGCTTGACGTCAGGTCAGGATCCGTACTTTATCAGCACACGTACGTGGGAAAGAATGAGAAAAGAAGAATGGACACCTTTCAAGAAAAAAGAGATACATCAGACGACTCTATGGGATTAACAGCAAAATTACAATAAATAATTGACGGCCGCATCTTTTCCGAACCTGTGCTCTCAGAGGGATTGAATTTGTATAATTAATTGGACGGCAAAGATGAGACGGTAATTTATTTGCATAGGAAAACAGCACACACGTGCGTGAATCAGGCGCTGCCAGCAGACTCCAGGTCGCCTGCTCGGGCCGTTATTATGCGACTCACCTTTGGCCTTTCCACAGATTCTATTCTCCGATATTGTGCAAAAAGGAGCAGCAGACTGGCCCGACGAGAAGAAGTGTGACAAAGATTCATTATATAATAAAAATTTACCGGGAATTTTGCGGGCGTTCATATCTCCGTCCAAAGCTGGGGAAAACTTACTTTTCTAATGGCACGTCAGGAATTGAATTTATCTCGTAGATAATATGTGAAAATAACTTCTCCGAGTGACTCTCGTTACGTACTTTTTTTCTCCATTCCGGTTTTTGTGCCCATAAATATCAAGAAATTTCCCCTTAAGCATATGAGGCGGACGCGAATAATTTATAGATTTGCGGAATTAAAAAGCTGCCCGAGACTTGCAGGTAATGAGTTTACCTTCGGGACGCATTTGGCGCGACTCCTGCATTTCAAAACAAAACACCTTAATTCCGATGTTATCATATCAGCTCTGCGGCCAAATGACATTCAAAGGGCGAATTAATTTCGCGCACGTTTCTGCAAATTTGACTTGGTAACGCAAAGTCGTGATCAACTTTGGCGCTCTCCCGAGAACAACGCTCCAAATTATTCTTCCTCGAAAACGAACGTGGTGCCCTTTTGCTGCGGTGAAAGAGAAGTAAAGTTTTGTTTCACACAAACGCGGATCAACTTTTGATAAACGAATGCAGACTCGTATAGGCTGTGATCTCGGTGATAAATTTGAGCTAAAATATTGGCAGGGCACGACTCTGCATTCATATGAGACACTCTCCAACAGCAGGATGTAGAATTCGGAATTTTATTAAATTGAAAAATTGTGTTGAAGAAAGCATTTCATGTATATAGTAGATCCTAGAATTTATACTTTTACCAATAAAAAGTAATTACAATCATTGACAGTATTATTCACACATTAAATGGAAACTTGTCGACCACTATACATATACAATTTTATTTGTATGGTTTTTAACAGTTTTTAATAAAAATTAAATAATATAAACTTGTTAAATAATAAATGCTCAACATAGAAACAATATTTAAAAATAATTTAACTAAAATTAATTATAAACAGTGCATTTAAAAAAGTTTAACAAAAATATCTGTTATGCTATGAATTTTTTTTTAAATTATTTAAATTTTATTTACAAAATATTTAATTTTAATATAAATTTTATAATTATTTAAAAGCAGATTTTATTATTATAAAACAGATATTTTAATATAGAAAACAAATTTATTTATAATAATAATAATTAATTTACATATTGAAACATAAAAATAATTTTATTGCGTCTACTTTTTAAAAAGTCTCTAGCAATTTTCAATGGAGGAAATTTAAAATAGATATTATGTAATACCACATTATCAGTTTCTATAATTATGTAAGTGTTTTGACATTTTCTTGGTGTATTTTTTTTTTTTTTTTTTTTTTTAATATATTTGCTTATTTGGCTTAATATTAGAATTATACATTATGGCACAACTTTTTAATGGATAAGATTATTAAAATTCATTATTTTGCTGCAAAATAAATCTTGTGTTGCTGTATTGCAATATAAAAATAAAAATGGGTAAGAAAATATAGTTGATGCTGCTATACAAATGGACGTATGTAATGTTCCTTGCACTTAGCCATTTATTAACTGATAGAAGATCTCTTAGAAATCTGCTAAACGCTCATTTTAGATGAGAACAAACTAACATCGTTTATGGGCTTTTAAATCTATATGTCATTTAGTCATTTTATTTATTTTATTGGTTATTCACGTTCGATTCATAATACTTCACTCATTGACTTGGAATGACAAGTCTCATAAATATTGTCACCTCCCTGCTATGAGACAAATCCTCGTGGTCGGCGACGTGAAAAACGACCGGATCTGGTAAGACTGCCGTCCGTCCCGCCACGATCGATCGCCAACGCGGTGCACCCAGGTTATTGCTTATGCGGCACATGCATTTCGATTTCTGGCACCTCTTTCATTCCAGCCATTTTCGCTCTCGCATATGTGGTGTCATTGAATCGAGTTCGCGCCCCGGGTGTGTGTGTCACCTCGCACGCCGGCAGCCTGTTTCCATGCAGCACCGACCGACTCAAGTCGATGACCTTTGTGAAGGTGACCTTAGCTGGGGCACCAGGTGACCAAGAGCAGACACCACGGGGGGCCCTCGCAGCTCCTCCATTACTTTTAATGCCGGCCTGTTGGTCGGGCGGTCTGTGTAGTTGTTAAGTCCTAAATTAATGAGCCAGACTATCGGATAACAAAACACTACACTCGGCAGAGAAGCGGATATTATTCTTTTGACAAAGACAAGGAGTTCTTTTTCTTTGGTTCGAGAAATAAAACACGGGCACAGGTTGCACACGTGATTATGCAACCGATGTGAGATTGGGTTTCTTTTTCTGCTTATTTTCGCGCCAGCCGCTTGGCCGACCGACCGCCTCGCAGTGAATTATGGCCACTCGAGTCGTGCCCCAGCCTAACGGGCGACTCTTCGGCAGGTCGTTTTGCCAACGTTTTTACGGCCTTTTGCACATTATATCGCTTGAATGGATCTGCCTGAAAAGCAATGTGAATGAGGAGCCGCTTTCTGCTTATTTACTTTGTGGCACACTTCTTTATTTATCGATGTAGCTTACATAACATTTCTAGTGGAGCTGCCACCTAAAGTACCAAATTTTATTACATTAATCTGTCTCACAACCAACAGGTGCAAAATTAAATTAAATTTTAATTAGTAGTAACCCTTTTCTTCAGTACAAAGTAAATACAAAACTTATCAGAAAAATCAAATATAAAAAGTGGAATTATTAGATTTTATGATACAGCAGTCTTCTCCTCGATTCCAGTCTGCCTTGAGTACAAGATTTTGAGCCGTTATTTGCAGCTCTCCTATTCAACCTCAGGAGGTTCTCGCCAACCATCACTCTTCTGCTCCTTGCCAGCCATGGCCAGAACTGCCTTTGCCTCGTTGTCCAAGTCAAGCACACTGGGTCGCTCACCCTTCAATTGGAACAAAATAGGATGTTAAAAATCTTGGATTAATAATAAATTTACCAATTCCTCTGGTGGTGGAGGAGGAGGACCAACAGCCCAGACCTCAAGGTGGCTAACATCAAAATCTTTAGTGGTGGACATCATGGGGCTGTGGTAGGTGGTGCAGCTCTCAGAACAGAAACCTTTGCCGTAGCTGGCATCAAGATAAAGGCCAAAGTAGCCAAGCTGCCCTCCCATGCCCTGAAAATAAGAAGAAATTTTCAAAATTAAGTCCGAGTCAATGAATTTAAAATTTATCTGTCCAATTTCAATAAGAACGTCAAATTTCAACAGCACAAATAATTCTGTTTATAAAATTAATTGAAAGTAAAATAATATTTAAAATAAAAATGAAACGAAATTAAAAACAAAACAATTTAAAATTTATATGTTCTTTCGGAAATTTATTAAATTTAATTAATGTTAATTATATAAAAAAAAAAGTATAAATGAAAAGTTTTAAGCAATAAAAATTGCAATCGAAATGTTTGAAATTTTTTTTAAATTACCAATCCATTGGGCATAGTCTGCTGTTGCACGTTCAAGTACTGGTAGTGCTCGTTGTAGCCAGTTGAGGGGTAAATGGCCATTTTGGGTTTCAGATTAAATAAGAAGCACCTGTTGTCCCCTGGAACATAATATTATATGCATTTAAAAAAAACGTATAATTTCTGCATAAATTAAATTGAATTTAATTACCTAAAATTAAGAATTACTTCACATTTTTTTTTAATCAACTTACCAACAAACTGCGGGCTCATGTTCCAAGGGGCCACTGCAAATCCACCGAAGACGTGTCCGCTCGTGTCCCTGACCAGCACCAAAGTCGGACCCTGCCAGATCGTGTTTCCGAGCATTTTGGAAAAACTCTCTCCATGAATGGCACTGGAGAACAAAAAGCGCCACTCCTTCCTGAAATCGTGTGGCAGAGCCGAGGCCAAAAAGGCCACAGACGCCTGGTCCAGAATGGAAGCAGCCGGGTCTTGCAGACCTTTGCACAGGGGCATCAGTCGACCTTTGTCCAGGGACGGATCGACCTCGAAGAAGAGCCAGTTGAAAACGGCCGCCTGCATAGCAAAGAGGCCTACTGGAGCGGCCGCAAGCCACTTGGAGGCCTCCATTTCTGTGATGGGCAGGTCTTCGGGAGGCACCGCCACTAGGGTTTCCTTGGTGTGCTTGCCAGGGAAAAGCAAGTCGTGGCAGAAGCCGACGGCAGTGAGTTTGGTCATCCCGACAGGCAGCTGGCTCCACTTCTTGGCCGCCACCTCGAGGTAGGAGGCCGTCAGGGCGTCCACGTAGGCCACCACTTGGCCAGAAGTGGCCGATTTGCCACCACCAGAGGCAAGGGCCACAATCTGCGAGGCCTGTTCGTCGGTCGAACCTCGAGTGACATGCACGTAAAGAGTGGCCAAGCGGTGGAATGTGATTTGTGAAGAGCCCAAGTAGGCCATGATCAGCTTCAGAAGGGCAGGGGTGACTCGACTTTGCCAAAAAGCCTGAAATTGTTTGCATTTTTAATTTAAATGAAATAAAATATTATTTTCAATTTAATTTTTTAAATGGACAGAATTTTTTATGTTCCTTTGAATTTTTTTACCTGCAATTTGTCACGTGAAGCCACATTTGACGATCCAGCCACCTGCTGGAAAACTGCTTTCAGCCTCTCTCGTTCCTCAGGGCTCAGAGGGTCCTCTTCAGGACTCATCTTAGGGTTGCTCGCACCCATGACGACTACGATTAAATATGCGTACTTCCAACTTCCTAAAAGTGTAAAAAAAGGGTGATTTATGAAGTAAAACAGCATGGTATGTAAACAGCAGAAATTTATACCTCTCAAACTCGGACACTTTCAAGAATGTTCTTTGGAAAAAAAAACTTTAGATTTGTCGGCAATGTCGATCGGAATTATGACAGAAGTTGCTTTTTGTTAGCTGCGCAAAATACTTTAAATGAACTTTTCACTTTCTACATAAAGCTCTACTTATTATCAGGACAAGCTTTTACAATGCATTAGTCTCGAAATATCGATGATAATCTCACAAAAACAAAGTCACAAAAGTTAAGAAATTTTGGTGGTAGGGATGTCAGGCCCTCTTTCGGCAGCCACCTCAAACATGTATGACAACAAAAAACAATAAACAAAAAATAGGAACAGAGCTGAAGAAAATTATCATCTATAATTTTTATGTTTCTCAATCCGTCATTTTCAAGAATGATTTAAAAAATCAACTTCACGAATTTTGGAAACTGCGCTTCGTATAATTTTGCAAGAGAAAGGTAAATTTATTTTTACAATTATGTAAAAAAAAAAAATTATCAAATGTTTTCGCGCGTGCGAGTACACACGTTGAGCTAAATCATAAAATTTCAATTTTTTGTCTCTGCGTTTATAAAATTTCAAAACGTAAACTGGTTCGTAAATTTTTGCAGAGGCCTTTTTTGTGTCTTTTACACAATAATTATGGAGCTTCGCAACCGAAATCTACCTGAAAGTACAAATAGCAGTCCGAATAGTAGCAGCAGCAACCACCGTCATCGGAAGTCTCCAAACTCTCCAAGCTCAAGTACATAATTTATTTTGGAAAAAAACTGAGATTTATCTTTAAAGCAAACAATCGGATTACAGAGAGGCGAGACAAGCGAGGAAAATCTGTAGAGGTTGATTCTGATCACAAGGCGGGAGTTCATAATAATTCTGCCCCATCATCTCTATATTACACAGAGGACATGAAATCATTACTTTCGGAGGCTAAAAAATTCAATGAAGGAAAACCTCATGCAGAAAAGGAAATTAAAAAATCTAAAGAAGAAGAGGATAAAACCAAAAAGACTCAAAATTTCATTCTCTTCTGGTTCTGGACGCAATGGAACCGGACTAGCACGATTAAAAAAATATTTTTTACTTTTACTGTGATGTCAGTGATCTTGGGATTTATTTTTTTATTGAACTACTTAAAAGAGCCTGCACCAGAACCACCAAAGCTCACATTTCAGCAGCATATGAACAAGTTAATGAAAGAATTCCCAAGGTAAACCAACTGACTTTGGAACCATTAAATTAATATTAATTTATCCTTTCTATATAATTTTGTTAGTCAAAGAAAAGAAACTTGGTTTTCTTTGATCGCTGGAGGACGAGACTTTTTGAACTCGACGGAGCCACAACGCCCTCTGGTCCTTTTCATAAACGGTCATCGAGAGACGCAGCAGTGCCTGGGGAGAAAGTTCATCGACGCTGTTGGAAAAACACCACACGAGATGAGTGCTGAAAGTTTGCGTGGAGGGGAGTACGGAGTACTCATTGAAAATCTGAAGGAAGTCCTGGAGAAAGACAAAGCTCTTCTCATTGTGGGTCTGGAAAGGTTGGACCCAAAACTGGCCGCTGCCCTGCATGTCGTGTGCGACCGAGAGTCTCCAATTGTCAGCAGAGACTCGGTCGTGGTGCTGACGGCAGACAGGGCGCTCGAAGAAATCAGCCAAAATTGGAGCAGTGCCATCGAGGAAGACAAACTGGTCGCCTTAATCACCAGAATAATGAACCGAATGGTCGAAGTCGTACCTGAAAAATCCTTGCCATGCTGATCAAAGTAAGAGATCTTTGAAAATTACCCAAAGGCAAAGTGTAATTTTGCAAAATAAGCATTTTTAAACTGAGATTCTCTGCAAAATAATTTTTATATTTTAGAGCCTAGCTGTATTTTTATTTTTTATATAAAAAAAGCATAATAATCTGTCTTGATAAACAATTTTTAATGTAAAATGCTTGATTTTACATAATATATTATAACTTCTGCTAGGTCTCATATTATGCTCAAATTTTAAAATATTCCAATTTTTTTAAATAAATTGTTTCTCTATTCAATTGAGATAAAACAAACTTTAAATTATTTTTCCAATATTAAAAAGTGTAAATCAAAAAGAAATATAATTTCAAAACGATTGCATGTTTGAAGAAATTTAGCTATATAAAAATAGGATTCACCTGATGTCTTTTGAAGACTAATTTCTGAATCTCTTGTGCAGCATAAAGAAAGTGCGCTTAGCCCAAACAAGGCCTTTCAGGAATTTAAACTTCTTTAATACTTACATTATAATTTTTTTTTCGTAAAATCTAATTTTTAATAGGACCTTCACTCGAGAATTGAGTATTTTAAATTTTTTAATTGTTCTAATTAATTTTTTCCAATAAATAAAGCGCTATACAAATTAAATTTATTTAAAAAATTTGGATTTTAATAGAATGCCTCTCAAATCCCGAAGGGATCACAAAAAATTACATAGTGACGTATGTCGGGTCGGTCGTAACGCCACAGTTGTTGTCCTGCTGGGCCATCAGCACGTAACCATCGTTGCCCCAGTAGTTTGACCACGAGTTCTTCACAAGCCAGTAACCCTTTCCTTTGATGGTGCCGTATCCGACGACCAACACGGCGTGGTCCAATTGCTCAGGCCGGTTTCCTGCATTATAAAATATTTTATAAATTTTGGCAAAAAGATTCTTTCTTCTTACCGCATTGGGGCTCATAGTACACTCCGTTTGAGTAAAAGGAGAAGGTCCTGTGGGAGGCGTCGATGGCCACAGAAATCGGTCCGTGCTTGGCCACTGCGGCCTTCAGGGCGTCCACGCTGCCCGAAGTCACGTTCACATAGCCGGTGATTTTTGCAGTCAGGGTCACATTGTCAGCATGGCAATATCCATCCTAGACAGGAAAAAATTTCAAAATCATTATAAAATCCAAATCAGATTTCAGACAGAACAAAAAATGAGAAGCCAAAAGCTTTGGGTTTTTTTTTTTTAATTTAACATTTAACTTCAAAAGTATTTTAAAACATGCCAAAAAAAAATGTTTTTAATTATTTTGTGGATTATTAGGTTATGAATTACCTGTCCCAAGTAAGGTCCATATTCTTCCTCAGTGGGAATTCCTCCGTGCTTCATCATCCACTGGTAGGATCTGAAGTCTTCACCACCATCACAACCGTTGTTTCCGTAGCCCCAGCTGCAGTCAATTAGTGCCTGAGAAATAATATAAGTTTTGGGCCGAAACGAATAATTTTTTTCTCCTCTTCACCTGCTGAGAAATCCTGACGAGGTGTCCGTACTTGACAAAATAGGCGCCTTCGATGGCGCCTGTGGTGCCAAAACTCCAGCAGGAGCCGCACACGGACTGGTCCTTGACGGGCGTGACTGCGCCGTAGATCCTCCAGTCCATGCTTTCTGGCACCTTCAGAGACTCCAGGTTCGTGTAAGGGAAGGGTTGACCGCCGTTGTAACCCTGGGAATACTGCTTTCCTCTGAGAGCCTTCAGCTCCAACTCGCTCTTGTCTGCCAAGTGGTTCACAGCCAACTGGAAGCCCAGACCGGCCCTGTTCTTCGAGTGGATGTACCTGAACAAAATTTATTTAAATCCGATTTCAATATATTTTTTTTCGCATTTTTCTACCTGAGATTTTGTCTGAAAATGTCCTTTCGCTTGCCGTGCTCGTTGTTGTCCACGTAGGCCTTCTTGTGGGCCCTCTTGAAGTTCTCGAAGGCGTTGTCAACATGGTCCTCGTAGTTGTGAATGAACTCCTTCATTGGGTTGAAAGTGTAGATGTGCTTGTCTCCAGGGCCAGGGAATCCAGTGCAAGTCATGTCTAAATTTGAGATTTTTATAAAATATATGAATAATAAAGAAGAAAGTTGGATTTTTTTTAAAGAAAAATATTATTGAAAAAAATTTAAAACTGTATATTTTGAAAGTTATTAAAAGAAATCCAAGAAATTAAAATAATTACTGTCTGGAAGTTGGAAAACGGTGGAGTCTGGGCCCTCAAAGGAATACCAGTCGTACTCCAAATAATAGTGGTCATAATGGGAGCCGAGCAGAGAGTTGAAGCCGCGCATTTCATAACGCATAGGAACCGCGATGCTTTTGGTAGGGTCCAGAGGGTTATTTTTGTAACGAATCCAAATCGTGTACTTGTTGACTTTGTCGCCCTTCTTGGTCACCAGGCGCCATTTCTCAGCCTGGTGTCCGCTCACCATGTCCTCTCCAATGCACTGTTTGAAAAAATTATTTTATTTTACTTGTTTTCTTAGAAAAAAGAAAAAAATGATGTTGATTTTAATTTTGTTTGTTATTGAATATGTTTGCTCTCTTAACCTCAAATCCGGTGAGGTCAGGCAAAATACTCTGCGGGGTTACGGAGTTGTCCGCTGAGCCATCGACTTGTAAGCAAGTTTCCTCATTCAACTGCGTTTCAGTCGTCACAGGCGCCAATTTGCGACTCACGCCATTTGGACCTTCTTTTCCCAACTGATAGGTCTTCACCATTCCTATAAATATTTAAAATTTTAAAGCAGATAAAATTTTTTCTTCTTCCATTTTTTTTTTTTTTTATATTAAATTGAAAGGGCAACTACATTTTGCTCACGGATTAAAAAAAAAATAAAAGGCAAAAAAATAAGTTCCGCGAAATCAGCCTCGAGTTTTTTTAGCATTAAATTTGGCATAATTATTTTAATTTAATCAAAATAATAATTATGTAATAAAAATTATAAAAGGTGGGACCAAAAACTGAGTTACCTCCATAGTAATCGATTCTGCTATTTCCAGCCTCGCTGTCGAACCAAGCGTAAAACGGCTCACGAATTTCTGCGTACGGAATGTACAGGGTGCCCTTTATGGTGTATTTATTGCTGAAAGCGGGTGCCGTCTTTACCTGCACTTCAGCCGCGCTCACCACTAAAATAAAATTTGTCACATAAAATTTCTCTACTGACACCATAATTATATAATATATATGAAAAGAATCTAATTAACCTGCGACGAGCGCGAATCCAAGAAAAGCCAGAGCCGCCTTCATTGCGCCGACCCGCCTCAGAAACAGACTGCGCTGGAAAATAAATTGCCGCGAGAGAGTTACGTGATAGTTTTTTTTCTGTTTCTGCGAGCATCATCGGATTCCGAGAATAAGACCATTCCCAGAATGACAACAAAAAATAATACAACACGTGACACAGCAAAAAAGGAAAGGCGCTGGGATGTGCATACCTGGTATATATTCCGATGCCGAGAAGTTGATTTATAAAAAAAACCTCTCCCGTTGCTAACTTGCTATGAAGCAAGGATGAGTGGAGACTAATTTTGATAAAGGCGATGCTCAGTCTAATAAAGCCATTTATCATGTGACCGGCTGAGGCACCCTGGGTCAAACGTGATAGCAAGCCGAGAGAGAAGAGCACTTTGATCTCAGCTCGGACACGCACTTGACGATACGCTGACCCGCGCCTCCAGAACTTGCGAAAGGCAAACAGAAAAGTCGCGTTTTCAGCTCTAGAAAAAGCTCCCAACCAAATAATAGAGCAAAATTATTCTATTTACTCTAGAAAATTATTATATATTTTGCCCAATACATTTTTTTTTTTTTTTTTTTTTAATTCATTTTAAATATTTAAACATTTTTGTTGCATAATGATTGCCTAATTCTTTTTAGAAAAAAAATTATGACTCCAAGAATGAATTTTTTTTTTTTAATTTTATCAAGAGTTCATTGTCTAGAAAGATGGGGCATAAATATAAATTGTAAAAATGATGAATATTTTTATAATATAATCTTGTTTATTTGGCTCCAAAATTTAATCATACAAAATACATAACACATTTGTTTAAAATATTATTTTTTACTGCAACCTGTAACCTTTCTATTTTAATATATGACTATTGCCAATTTTTTTAACTCATGCCATTTTTGTTGAAATTTATCTATTAGAAGTCTATTAAAAGTTAAATAGTGATTGAACTTTATTATTAAACAGATAGTTTTTTCAGCGCCGTTTTATAATTGCTGCGTCATTACGGATTAATTATTCAAGTTATAGCATTAATTATGCATAATAATAAGTACTTCTTTGGCAAGCGATCAAGCGCGCAAGCACCAAGCCATGCGTGTCGTATACTGATAAAAAGCAACGAACCGAAATAAGCCTTTGTTGAGTTGCCAACCAAAACATTATTATCTGCGAAGAGAATTTTCTATTGGCCTCCCGTTTTGACTTAAGAAAATGGAAAATTGCCAATGCACAGGCTCTTATAATAACGACTCGTTTGTCTCTGTTCAAAAGATGCACCGCAGCGCTGTGATTTGCCGATGCCTCTCGACGTCCAGCGTTTCCGAAGCGAAAAAATTGCTGCTGAAATACCCAGGAGGGAGGGTGGACGTCCAGAAAAATGAAAGTGTAGGCATCGCCACGGTGTGTTTGCAGCGACCAGACAAGAAAAATGCCATCAGTGGTAATAATTAAAAAAAAGTGACTTTGAAATTTAATATAAAATGAAATTTTGATTTTAAGGTCAAATTTTAATGGAGCTGGATGCGGCGGCGGACACCCTGGCCAACTGGTCATCAGGCAAAGCCTTCCTTCTCTACGGCACCAACAACTTTTTTTGCTCCGGCGGCGACTTGGCAATGTCCCTCGGCACAGCCACCTATGACGAAGGCCTCCTTCTGGCCAAATTCGCCCAATTTGTATTTGGAAAACTGAAAAACCTTCCACTCGTGTCCGCCGCTTTCGTCGAAGGAGCTGCCCTTGGTGGCGGCGCCGAAATGAGTGTGGCCGCCTGCGATTGGAGACTGATGGCTCCAGATGCCAAAATTGGTTTTGTCCACGCCAAGATGGGCCTGAGTCCTGGCTGGGGAGGCACGACAGCCCTAACAGAACTTGTGGGGCCTTCCAGAGCTCTCGAATTGACTTGTTCCGGCCGATTATTGACTTCCGAAGAAGCAAAAACTATCGGATTGGCGACGGATTCTGTTTCGGACTTGGACGGCGCCTTCAAATGGTTGGAATCGAGATCGGCAGGTCCGGTCGAAGTGATTAGAGCTTGCAAAGAGGCCATTCTTGAAGGCACTTTGGACGCAGAAGCACACAGACATGCAACTTTGTGGGGCGGCGAGGCCAAAATGGAAGCATTGAGAAAGAAAATAAAACACTTGAAAGTGACATGATAAAATACAGCATAATTTATTTTTCATGGAGGCTGCTAGGCAATGAAATACATTGTTTTAAATTTTTTTGTTGGTTGCTGGTGTACCATTTTAAGTTTAATTACTTTTCAAGTAGTATTATGAATGTGTGTGTGTGTGTAAGAGTTTCATGTCTGCCGAGGAAAATAAAATCTACTCGTTTCTTTACGCGGAATACAACATTCAAAAAGAGGCACACACTTTTGTTCATGCGTCATCACAAAACGTGCGGTTGCTGGTTTCGCGTTGAAGGCCACCAGAGAGCTGCTTCAGAGAATCAGATATTCGTGCATTTTTGGAAAATGGCCAAAATTATAATAAGCAAAATATTGAAAATATCGTTCCATCACAAACTGAGTTCTGTATGTATAGATCTTACTACGTTAGAACGTACACAGTACAAAAGGAAAATCATAAAAGGGAAAGCATACCAAGAAATCAAAGAAGTTTTCTAACAAGAAACAAAATCAACATTTTTCCAACAAGTTGAACGTAAGGCCTTCAAGTCTGGGAAGAAAAGTTCCACCTATAAATTATCACTTTTTCTTCTCAGCACATTTTCTTGTTTACTTTTTGGTGTATTAGAAAAATTGGACAAGTTTGATTTCAGCTATATAATCGGTCGAGTTTCACAAGTTTGGCACTATCATAAGTATAAATGTATTACAACATAGTAATAATATGGGCATGCACTTACAAAACTAACATCACCAGAGTTCATCATCACCTGGGTTGTTTTTCGCCTCTGTGACCAAAGACAATACTTACGAGCTAAGTAGGCTTACAGGCTAGGCTTACAAGGTAATAGAGTAACCTATACTCAATTAATTACAGCGTGTGTGTGTTGTGTATGATGTAAAGAGAGATGCAAAAAATTTTGGATTAAATATTTCAGAAGGGAGTACATTACGTTTGTTTTCATATATCGTTATAAAAAGGTATAGAATTGAATTTTGTAGAAAGATCGATTTTTTTACTATAAAATAAAATCAATTATTGGATGAGTGTGTAATTGATGCATGTGTGTTTGTGTTTAGTGTAATACGCGCACTGACTAGTTTCAACCCTTGTACGATTTTTGCTACAGCTCTCACTTTTCATTTGCTTCTTCTTCTCCCTACTTCGTTTGTTTATTTATTTTATAGTTGTTACGTAATTACTTCGGATTAAACACCAATGAACACCGTTGTGGTACAAAGATTAGATCTTGTCAACAACTATTTTATTATTATTATTATTTACGAATATTATTTTCCTCTTATGATTGTGGTCTAGATATTTATGTTTTGTCTGCTAGTCTGCAGAGTTGACGCTGTTTAGCTATTTTCGACAACAACAACTTGGCTTTAGTAAATTACTCGCTCCCATCGCACTTTTAAATAACGTGCGTTCTGCAAAGACACGACATCTCATGTTTAATCAGTAAACGTTTCCAAAAAGTATAATATTATATAGGCGGCTGAGGCACAGGAAAATGAAAATTTGTATTTTAATTACTTTTTTTTCGTACAAAACGTTTCGCAAAAAAGGTACGCGTTTTCAAATGTGTATATAATTTGCTTAGAAAAATACAATTGCTGATTTTTACTGCGGGTCGTGTTCGGTTTTCCTTCGTCGTAATTGTAAATCGGGTCGTATTTTCGAATATTTTTATAGAAATTGACTGCGACACGTTAATAATTATTGTTACTATTATTAAAAAATATAAAGACTCGCGATCATCTACTAACACATCCGTAAGATTAGGAATGCTGCATGCAAAAATGTGTATTACGCTAGAAAGTAGCTAATTGCTAATGAATTATTATTACCATCAAAATATTAATTAATAAGAGAGGGCTTACAAATACAAAAATACCAATCGCATGATTAATTCTCGCGTCTCGTCATCACAATCGCGGGCCGTACTCTCTCTCACTTCTCTCTTGTGTAATTTTATGTATCGTTTGATTTTGCCTCCTGCTCTCTCTAAGTACAAAAATACTAGAAATTGCGTCGCGCTAATTACCTGCCCGCGGTTCATATTCATGGCTTAATCACAAATGGAGTTCGAAAAATAATGTAAAGGCACGTTGTGTATCGTCATCACATATCCCATTAGATTAGCCTCTTACTACGATTCATCTCAAAAAGTTACACATCATCATTTTTCTGTTTTTCGTAATTTTTTCTTTACCGAGTGTTTAGTGTAAATGTGTTGTGTGTGTATGTGTGTTTATTAATTATGTACAGATGAGTTCGGCGGCCGGCTCCGATTCTATAACTTATATCATTATAAAATAACTTAATTATTTTGTACTCCGACGCGGGGCTGACCGCCTCACACAAATCCTCGCCGAGGTAGATTACTAAAGCGACCTCTTGGAGGCCGATAAACACAATTTATCCTCGCATCACCATTTGAACACAGCGCAAAATACATTATTCAATATTATCATCAAATACTAAGGACTACTTGAATAATTGAAAATAAAAAGACAGCAGGAACTGACAAACTGCATTTGGCCAACAGCGCAGAGCCACGCCGTGTCTCCCGAGAGACACATTCTCACACGTACACCTTCGAATTCTCAAAATATTATTATTTTATCACGTCTTCTGACCGCTTTGAACTTAAGACCAGGGCATTGGCTCAATTTGGTTTTGTTTGTAAAATTAATTAATATTGCTACTGTATGTGGAACAAGACTGAGGTAGTTACGGTGAAAATTCTGACTTGTAAAAATCATCACTAATTCCATTGCTTGGATGTTACGACTCGTGTCACCATTATCATGAAGTTCTGCCAAATATTGGCAAATAATTTAGTTAAAAGCCATCAACCCAATAATTTAAATTGCTGATTTTCTCTTCATTGAACTAGAGAGAAAAAGATTTAACTTCAAAGATTTTAATTAATATTTAACCTTCGCACTTGAAAATTTGAGAAGAAAAAATGCAATTTAATTAAAAAATCGTTGCGGCCAAAATCTCCTTTAAAGAGCACGGTTTTTTTTCATCATGGCACAAAGTGAAAACATTATGGACCAAGAAACCTATTTGAAAGAAAAATAACCAACTCACAATAATTGGTTCAAGAGCAGATTTAAAATTAAAATTAGCTCTTGGAATTTAGCATAATTATGGTCTTTTTTTGAGATAAAAATCAACAATTGGAAAAAGATCAGGTTGTTGCGGCTTTTAAATTGTGTAGACGTTTTGGCGTGAAATTGAGCCTAAGCCCTAAAATGCATCGAAAGCTTTGAACAAAAACCGTTTTGTGGCTCTGGGAATGTCACCTCTGCTACTGAGGGGGGTTCGGAGGTGGTGGCTCTTGCGGCTGGAACACCTGGCTGAAGCCGGGTAACGGCCTTGGCTGATTCTCCATGAGTACGAGCCGGCTGCTTTCATCCACGCTGAGACTCTCGATCAGGGTAAGTGGGTCCTCAAGGCCCTGGTTTGGCTCGGCTAGTCGGAAGAGGTCCTCGACGCCGTCATCCTCCTCCATCTTGATGCCCAGCTCTGGATAATATGCGTACTGCTGCTGCTGCTGGCTCGACGGCTGTTGCTGCGGCTGGCTGGGCTGAGGTTGTGGCTGGTCTGGCTGAGGCGTTTCTTCCTCCTTTCGAGGCCGTCGCCGGCTCTGCATGCCAGAAGGACCCGGCTGGTTCCAGTCAGGAGGCTCCGGCGGCTGCGTTGATGGCTCGGTTTCTCGCTTTGGTTTTCGGCCTGCGTGGCTCTTCTTGATGTGCCGAACCAGGTGATCCTTCCGGCCAAACCGCTGCGGGCAGAACTGACAGAGGAAGTCCCGCTTGCCAGTGTGGACGACCAGGTGCCGCTTGACATCCTTGCGGGTGAAGAAGCGCCGCTCGCAATGCTCGCACTGGAACTTCTTTTCGCTCGGGCTCTTGACGGTCCGCGAGCCTGCGTGGACCTTCAGGTGGTAGAGAATCTCCTCGCGGGTAGCAAAAGACCGACCGCACATGGCGCACTCCAGCCCACCCTCCTCGGCCGCATGCACAGCCATGTGCTTGCGGTAGCTCAGCACCGAGTTGTACTCTTTCCGGCAGCCCTCTTTGTCACATCTGTACACCTTCTTGTCAGGGTTGTGGACCTGAAATAACAAAATAAATTAATATTCATATTCTATTTTTTTTTAACAAAACTGTACATTTGATAAAAATGTGTAGTTTATGAAAAAATTTTCTATTGAAAATCCGAATTTTTAAGAAATACCTTTGAGTGATTTTTGAGGTGGTCCTTTCGATGAAAACTACGCTCGCAGAACTGGCACTGGTGTTTGCGCTCGGTGGTGTGGATCAGCAAGTGGCGCATCAGTTTGAACTTGGAGGAGAACGCCTTGGAGCACTCGTTGCAGGCGAACGGTCGCTCGCCTGTGTGCGAGTACATGTGCTGGAAGAGCTTCCCGGGGCTGCTGAAGGCCTTTTCGCAGCGGCCGCACTGGTGGGCTTTGGCTGGAGTGCCCTCGGTGCGCATCGAGCGGGTCTTGCGGCGCCGAGGGGACTCGGGTGCTGCTGGAGGTGTCACGGCTGGACATTTGTGGCTCTCCAACTCTTGGGGCGATGAAAAGCGCGCCTGGCAGTTGGGACAGGCGCGCGGCCGCAGCTGTCGCCGGCCGTCAGGCTCGTCAGAGGCCACATCAGCAGCTGCAAACAAGGATCAAGGTTGCTATTAGTCTTTTTGTTTTCCGAATTACGGCTGAGCTGCGATCCCCGACCCCTTCAAGATCTTATGTTTCTTTTTTTCTAAAAAATGGAGAATAATACATTCAATGATCTGTTCCTCTCATTTAAAAACTAGAACAAAAGTTAAAAAAAATAATAATTTTGTCGGAGAAGAGAACTGTAAATTTGAAAATCATAAATCAGAGGAGCATAAGCTAGAAAATGGAGAAAATTTTGATACACTTTAAGCATTACATTTGTCTGTGATTTCCTAGAACACAAAAAGTCCAGGAGTACGTTTTGATATATAAATTGAATTATTTTAAAAAGCAAAACATTCCTGAAAGCTGCGTTAGGTGCCAATATTGAAGTCTGGTTTGAGTCAGTTAATGTATGGAAAACACTGAAAACAGATTCTGATTTGTTTTTTTCAAAGAACTAAAAACTTAGCATTAAGTAAATATCAATGGATTTTAATTTCCATAAAATATATTTGAAATTATTAAAATAGTGAAAATTGAGTCTCCTAGACTTTCAAATGCGACTTGTAGGCTGGTGAAAAGTAGCCATGGCATTGACCCTGAATGTATTTTCATCTCTTGTGGGCTTGTAAAGGGTTAGCAGGGTTCTTGATGGACTCCGAACTTACCTGTCTGCTTGGTTGGTGCTTTTGTACCCATACTGCTCGCATATTAATATCTGTAAATGGGCCAAAATTGTTAAAATAAGTAGTGGTTCATGTAAGAGAGTCCTTGGCTTACCTTGGCTGCGGGAACTGACGAATATTTTGCCTTTGGTTGATCTGGGGCCTGCAAAAAAACATAAGTGAGTAGAGGCATACTTTCCAAAAGCAGAACAGGACAATTTTAAGGGACGACATGGCCAAGTGGGGTCGGAAAGTGCGAAAAACACGCGTGACCCTCAAGTACGAGGACCAAAATGTGCGCGCGTGTCACGGTCAAACGGCCGCGGGAGACGGCGATTTCTCACCTTTAAATAGAAAAGCAGTACTAAAAATGCTACTTCGACGACGGACAGAAGTAAATCATTGCACTGCTGGACTATGTGGAAGAAAAACATGCAGAGCCGTCCATTTTTAAATGCCCATCGTGTTTGTTTTGGTAGCAACTCAATCAGGCATCAGGCACGCGTCACCCCACGTCCCTACCCTTGAAATTCGCATCACACCTCTTGACCGCTATTTTGAAAGGCACAATAAATTAATTTTTATTTTTTTAGGAATTTTGGTACCAATAACAATAAAATTTATCACTTTTTTCTGGAATTAAATGATAAAAGAAAATATCGAATTTAATTTAAGTTGGCTAAACCTTTTTTATTACGCAGCGCGCGGATTTTTGGCAAAAATTATTTTAAGCGTAAAACCTATCTAGAGAAAGATTCTGAGCTCTTATCAAAATGCTTAATTTGTGTATTTTAACAAAATTTTAAATAGTTTCATAAAAATATCATGAAATATAATTAATTTTACCATTTTTAAATTTTCCTTTCATTAGGTTTTAGTTCTTATTGATCATGTTGGCATTCACCCTTCGCAACCCAAAAACAAGCTCTTTGATTGGTAGAGACATTGAATTTCAAGATGGGCCCGGACGCTTGGCAACACCGCACTGATTTAACACGGAGAGCATAAGGCAAGGAGTGCGGAGAGGAGCAGGCAAAAATGCGCGCGCGAGAAAGGATTCCTATTTATTTTCTACAAAAATTAAGAATTTTCTGTAATATTAGAGAATTAGACAAAAGCTTTTTGTACTTAAAAGACACGCAAAGCAAAATTGTTGCTTTGCGCGCGACTTGGTACATAAAATCCTTCTTGCTCCTCAGTCCTCACCCATGCTACATTTCACGTTAACGCCCCCTTTCATAGCACACTGTTGCAATTTGGTGCAATCCGCCTTGCCCTCATTTGGTTTTTGGTTAGGAGACGGATGGCTATTGTACCAAAGAAACTTGCTACAATCGAACATCGTGAACCTGTCTTCCTCGTTTTTGCACCTCTGTATTATGTCAAAATGAGTTTTCTACCCTACTTATTAGCTACGATTTAATTTATGGAACAAATGGCTGAGACGTCGTCTAACAGCGACTCGGAAGAATTTTTTGACGCCGAAGACATCACACCTCATCGCAGTAGCAGGTAAAAATCACCCACATAAATAACAAGGGTCTACGCCCAATCCCAATGATAGACAGATTATCTTGTAAATTTCAAACCGGGCAAAGCAAAGTTTGAAATCTGTTTGAAACCTTAGCTTCCCAAAGCCTTCAGCATAAAATTTTTTCTTATAAATACACTACAATATGAATTTTAGCAAAATGAAAAGAGGTCTTGCCTGTTTTGTCCTTAATTGCCTCTTGATAAGTACATACATTATATACATATAAGTCAATATGATGTACCATTTGTACCGCAGACAAATATTTTTTTATCGTTTCGTCCTTGAAATTTGTTAAACTCCCTTTTAGATTACATGCAAGGATCAAGGATTGTACGAATCACTCTTAAACACCTTAAATTTTGGGTTCACATTTTTAAAGGAGAAATATAAGCAAAAAATATGGCAATGATTGATACAAGAGCGCAAGAGCTTCAAAATAGACAGATCTTAGCTAAATTATCCAAAAGCAGCAGTTTGTGCATAAAATAAATTTACTTGAAATTTTCATTATTTTATAGTCTAGAGCACAACAACAATTTAAAATAGTACGCAAGGTTATTATTATTTTTTTTAATAATTAAATAATCCAACTAAAATCATGAGATTATATTATTGGGAATTTTCCCTAATCATAATTTTTGTCCTACATGAACACAACACAGCTCAATTTTTAATTTTGTGCGCCTTTTATAATCAAAATTCCTCTACTCTCAACTTGTATTTTATACTACTGTGACAAACATTGCAAATGTAATCCCAACCATATTGTTTAAATTCTAGAAGAAGCAGGTCCAGCCTCAATAAAAACCAACCCGCAGGTGCAATTTCACCTAAAGCAGAAAACTCCGCTGCAAAACAGGAGACAACTATAGAGGAGACGGTAAGCTAAAATTGGATTAAATGGTACTTTATTTAAAAACATCATCCTCAGCCTGCACAACTGGAAAACAATGCTGCCTTACCTGCACTGCCGCTAACTCAACCTGATGTTCCCGATGGATTGGTACATAAAATAGTATATATATTATTTTTTCCTATCTAAAAATTCATTCGGAGTAAGTTAATTGTTCCTCCTTAAAACTATTCCTTAGCCGAACTATTCCAAGCATTATGTAACAGTCAAGTCAAAGACAGATAATGTAATGTCAAAAGATAGGAGACATTTTGCATGTTTCAAACATTAATTTGCCTAGAATTGCAAAAGCATAGGATATAACATAAATATATATAAATTTATTGTTTAACGCATTTTCTAATGAATCATAAATAATGTTAATTTATTCTAAATTTTTACTGAAAATGTATAGTTGAATAAAAAAAATTTGGAATGAATTGCAGCGCACAAAAAAGGAAAATCTTACCCTGCCAGTGGTTTCTGCAGTACTTGATGAAAAGGAGGAGGAAGTTGTACGTAGCATTAAACGATAACTGAATTTTTTTCTAATGAAACAATTGACAGCGTTCACGTCTTGAGGAGACACAAACAAGGAGGCGCAGAGTTCAGGAATTGCGTCAGCGCCTGACAACAGATGACGACCCCCAAGCTTCGGCCGCCACCTCTGGCTCTCCCCAGGGCTCGACAGCTTCATCTGTTGACAATATGTATCTTACTGGAAGGGCATCTGTCCAGTCTGCGCCTTCGACTTCCCATCCGTTTAGAATTATTGACACCACCGACTCAGTCAGTCTTAGCTCTATAGGCAGGGGAGGACTTCTTTTATCACAATTTAAATCTGAACCAGCTTGTAAGTTTAAAATAATTCGTTGAGCCTATTGATTAAATAACAATATATATTTTTCAGCTGTTGTTCTGTTAACTGGCAGCAGTTCTCAGCCACTGCAAGAGCCAGACGTGATTGCCAGCACGAAAGGTTTGGTGCCCGTAGCTCCACCCAGGAGGAAAAAGAAGCCCAAGGCGCCAAGTGTGCTACCCCAGGCTTCTGGAGAAGAGGCATCTCCTCTGCCCTCACCGGCCAGCACCCTTGCTACTCTTGCTGAAGAGTGGGAGCGCAGCCTGGATTTAAAGGCAGCCGTCAAGGGCCAGTACGTGGTAAAGCCGCAAGACACAGCCACTTCAAGAGCCGAGCCGTCGCCACCTCCATCATCACCTACTTCTCCTCTGGCCGCCGCTGCTGCTGCTTCGGCTCCGCTTCCACCACACTCTTCGTCTTGCTCTTCTGGCTTTAGCTCAGCGTGCTCCAGTCTACCAAGATCAGCCCGCCCTAGTCCCAGAAACTCAAAAGAACGGAACGGCGCAGCTGGCATCAAGGCTGAGGAGTTGGGAGTTCGAACAAGAACTGACTCTGGGAAGCAGCTTACTGATCTGGTGTGACTTCATTCATCATCTTTAACTATATTTTAATAATGTTTAATTAAACTAAATTAGGAAATTCTTGAGCAAGTTACTGTGCTGAATTTGGATACGGGGGAACGAGTGCCATTGTCTATTGCAGAGGACAAACTACCTCAGTGCATCAATCCACTTTCCTTGCACATTATGCGACTGACTTCTGAATACGTGAGGTAAAATCATTCTGAAAATGTTAATTTCTTTCTTTTGCTACTTACCCTGCTTTTAGGTTGTATGGAAAAATGGGCATTCTAATTTTTATTGTTATGCTAACAAATAATGGTAGATAGCAAGTAAATTTTTACACTGATTATTGCCACTTTTCTATATTTTACTGATAATTTTCTGTCTGCACCTATGTTTTCATAGATTGAAGAATACGTTAATGTTTTGCAGCAACTCAAGCTTGGAAAAGGATAGAGAAAGTGACGAGGAAAGCGTCATGAGTGAGCGACCGCAAACTTTGGCAGATGACACAGAGAGCATCAACATCCCTGTTAAAAAGAGGTTCCTTAATTTGTTTTAAGTTTCAAATAACCAATTAAATGTTTTCAAAAATTCCAGGAGTCAAATACGTAGGCTTATAGGGCAGTCTGTAAGAAAAACAATAGACAAAGCAAAACACCTGGCTCATGAAGTCCGCTTGCACGGATCTGCCGGAAATTCTGGCCGCGAGGCATTAAAAGAAGCTGGTGAAGAGGAGGAGACTGCAGCCAAAATAAAACTACGTGCTGGCCACAAAGGTCCATACGAGTTTGATTGCGTCAAACAACTGCAGGTAATTTTTTTAAACAACAAAGTATTTACATGGATTGTTTTTAATAAACCAGATCTTAAAAAATTACCAAAAGGTATTAAAACAAGGTTATATTGATTCTAATTATTTTTAATATTCGAAGGACATGTCAAATGCCCATTCTGGGCCGATTTGGTGTGTTCGCTTCTCTGTCTGCGGTAGACTCCTGGCAACTGCTGGCCAAGATAGGGTTCTCAGAGTGTGGGTTCTGAGGGAGGCCATGGCATATTTTTCCGACATGTGCACAAAGTACAGCCATCCAAAAAGCTCGCCCACACCCTCGCAGGAGTCGCTGCAGGCAGTGGCACCAGAAGAGCCAAAACCCTCTGCAGATGATGGCATGGGGCCATTCATGGCTCGCCCCTTTGTTTCCTACGTTGGCCACACATCTGATCTGCTGGACGTCTCTTGGTCCAAGAACTACTTTGTGCTGAGCTCGTCCATGGACAAGACTGTCAGACTTTGGCACATATCGCGCCAGGAGTGCCTCTGCTGCTTCCAGCACATTGATTTTGTTACCGCAATTGTATTTCATCCGAGGGTAATATTTTAAATTTGTATGGTTTAGGTTCAAAATATACAAATTTTTTCCCTGTGTAGGATGACAGATACTTTTTATCTGGCTCTCTAGATGGAAAACTACGGCTGTGGAACATACCTGACAAGAAAGTGGCAGTTTGGACAGAAGTTGAAGGTCCCATCAAACTTGTAACTGCAGCAAATTTTTGCCAAGTAATAAACAATTCTTTTTTAAATCGCATTCACATATGTTTTTTTCCCTTCAGAATGGAAAGTTTGCTGTCATTGGCACTTACGACGGGCGCTGCGTCTTTTACACCACGGAAAATCTGAAGTACCACACTCAGATCCACGTTCGCTCTTCAAGAGGTAGAAATAGTCAAGGAAGGAAAATAACAGGAATCGAGCCAATGCCTGGAGAAGACAAGGTATAAGGGATATGGTTTTATTAGTAACATAAATAAATGTACATGTCTCTTTCAGATATTAGTTTCTAGCAATGATAGCCGTATTAGACTTTACGATCTTAGGGACCTGAATCTTTCATGCAAATATAAAGGCTATGTCAACATCAGCAGCCAAATAAGTGCAAGTTTTAGGTAACATTGTTGTTGTTTTTTTCACATAAAAGTTGTTAACTAATCAAACTATCAGTCATGATGGGAAATACATCACAAGTGGATCTGAAAACCAAGTAATTTATATATGGAGGACATACCACGAGCAAGCCAAATTTACATCAGCACGGAGAGATAGGAACAGTTTTTGGGAAGGCATAAAAGGTAGGCTGTCTTGTAACTAAATTTTTCATTGTTATAAATTTGAAACAACTCAACTTTGCAGCGCACAATGCAATGGTGACTTGTTCTGTGTTTGCACCACATCCTGCTTCCATCATCCGCCAACTTGAGGCCACCGCTTCGCTGAATCTACTAGGCTCTGGTACAGCTGGCACTTTGCAAGCTTCAACCACCCCAGAGGCAGCTTCAAGTGGCGATGGTTACATCCTGGTCTCAGCAGATTTCAACGGTTGCCTCAAAGTGTTCCTGAACAGACCCAAGGCCAAGCACAGCTCGTTGCCAGCATCAGCGATGGCCTAACTGATATAATTATTTACAACACCTGCATACTATTAAAGCTTCAGATATGTACCAAGTTATTTGTGCTGTGGTTATTACAATAAACATCATGTTCTTTTAAACAAGACCATTTAAAGTTATCTCTTTTAATCTAACTGAACATAAATTTTTTATTAAGATAAGTAGTGCTTCTTTCATTTCAGAATAAGAAAGCTATACGATATTTATATTTAATCACTCTTTCACCAATTTATTTATTTTACTATTAAAAAAAAATTATAATATTCATTGAGGATAAAATTTTTGAAACAGGTTAATTATATTGGTAGGGAAATAAAAAAATCATACTTTCTAATTTGATCTGTTTAATTGTTTACCACTTGATAATAACTTAAATGTTGACTAACAATATGCAATAATATAAAATAAATACACATGTCTAGAGCATTTTACACAACTGATAGTACAAAGATAATAATAATATTCTCTTGTTGAAAGTCTCGACTTGAATCGCACACACACATTTTAAAAGCACGACACATTCCATTCAGACGACGGCCGAAACAACAGACGGCGATGCAGGTGGAGAGGACGAGCAAGAGGAAGTCTTTTCATCGTTGTCCTTTTTTGAGGCTTGCAGTCTGTGCCAGGTGTCGCCCAACGCCTTGGCAAAATGGTCATCAACTGAAATTCGAAAAATAGTTGTTAAAATTTTAATTATCTATTAAGACATTTTCAAAAGGAGATTGTATTGAATATTTAGATATTTTTTCTAATTTAGCCAATTATTTTAACAAGGTACCTGTCAGCGGGGTAAAAGAAGAGTCTTCTGTGGGGTCAAACTGAGTCTTCTTGGGCGACGGCGGTCTTTGTTGAGCATTGCTGCTGTGTGGAAAGAGGGCCTGGTAGTCCTGGCCTAGGGAGCGTCGGAAGTGCTCGTCAATGACTGGGTCACTCTCGCTGGGGCCGCGCTGACCAGAGCGTTCCTCTGGTTCCAGGCGCCGACGACTCCTGGTGCTCATGTCCAATGGACTGTCATCATCTGCGGCGCTTCGTGTCGGCGCCACTGACCGCGATATTGGACACGGACGTCTGTCCCGACGCCATCTTGCAGACGGCTGCAAGTCCTTACCCAGGGAGTCTCCTTCTGCGAACAAAAAGTTGGAAGTTAAATTTTTTTTCAAGAGTTAAAACAAATAAATTTAATTCAATGGTAGTTAAAACATCAAAATCTTCACAAATTATAGCAGAAATCTACTAGTTGTAAACCCTTTCTTCTCTTTTTCTAATTACATTTTTTTTAATCAACCGTGAAGAATTAATAATTTTAAAATTTTATTCTTTGTAGTCTATCCAGAGAAGTGTGTGGTAAACTCTTTTTTAATTTTATTGTTTTTATACTTGTTCTTTAATTTGCAGAAATTATACGTGAAATGTGAACTATAATATAATATTGTGTATTATACCCAATGAACGCAGATGAAGATTAGAAAAACTTGCAAACGGAGCTTGAATGCATATATCTAAATATACATATAAATTAATCAATAAAAAATACGCATTCAAAAATTAAATATTGCCCTTCAAAAAATTACACATTCAAAATGTCAATTCAATAAGTTAAAAATTACTCTAAAGGGAGCAAGCAGTTTTTTTTTTTCATTTTTAAATAGAGCTAGCTTGAAAGACTAAACAATATGCATTTGTTGTTAGTCATATCCTTTCAAATTATCTTTTTTTTTAGAAAAAAATTCTTTCCAATTGTGAGCACCAGAATTAACACTTTGCACAGCTCACAAACCTGATGAAAAACAATTCAAGATATAAAATTAAATTAAAAAAAATAGCAGCTATTGTAATGTTTTCTTTCTTTACCAAGTAAATTTAAATATGATTTAAATTGGGTTGAATTAAAAATATAGCTCTTCAGTGCGATTAAATAAGAGCCTAAGTTGTTCTTCGTTAGTGTTAGTTGTATTTTTTTTGTGACGGGTTTGCGTTGTTAAAAAGTTTATTCCAGTTTCTGTTTTAATAATCCAAAATAAATTCAACTAGAATTCAAAAACTGGGCAAGAAAATCAATGCTCCAAATTCTAACTCTTACTTTTTTCTAAACAAATCAGGAGTTCTGTCAATAAAAAATAAAATTTTCTCATTTAAAATACTAAAAATCAAGACAAACAGCTACAAACTGAACATGACTGTAGGATCATAATTTCTCATACTCATACTGAAAGCTGACCAGCTAACCTTATCCAGCATTTATACTCTCAACATGAAAAGTTGAAATCTCGATTTAATTTTAATGTTTTCTTAACTTTTTTGTGAAATTTAAATTTGATAAAAATTAATGAAATAAAAAAATAAAAAGCAGAACAAATTTTCTGTAGACCAGTTACAATTAAATTATATCCATTCAAAGCTTTTCTTTTTCTTGCACACCAAGTCCACATTAGCAGACATATTAATATTTATTCAGATTGAAATGAGAGGCCGCGGGGAAACTCCACGTTGAATTTAATTTGACGTTTTTGATCAAGAAACAGAGCAGCAATGCTTTGTGTTAAAGAGAGAGAAACGATTGTGGCTTTTGTTAATTATTATTCAAGCGTTCGTGCGCGGCTACTTGACTTTCCAGCATCCTTCCTCTGGGCTGCAACTACCCGAAATCTCGGCGGCTCATCTCCTCGGAGGAGAGAAGAGGCCCTACCCAGCAGCATCGACGCTCGCTCGCTTGTGTTATAATCACGCGTTATTATTTTTCTCATTTTTTGTGCCGGACATGAAGGCGCCGCCTGTGGCAGAAGGGGAGGAAGGCAGGCCCGTTTTTTGTTGCCTGCCTGGCTCCTGTGTGTCAGGTCAGAAGACCTTTTCCTAATTAAAAACGCTCCGTGGGAACAAATCACTGCACCCAACAAAGGTAGCACAATCATTTCAAAACTTAATCTTCTTTAAAAGCGACTCTAATCGCTTTTTAATTAAAGTCTAACAAAATATTTTTTTGAAATAAAATGTTTTAAAATATAGAGAAATGCTAAAATTTCTTAGATTTTAAATATTTCAAGATTCCACTTTATAACAGTTTGAAAAAATAACTTAGTTGAGGATAGAGATTTTGAAATAAAAAAGGTTCACACCGACCGCCGCCGCCGCGATTTGATCAAGGCGCTGAATGAAGCGTCTTTGGGCTCGACCTTGAACCTGGCTGGAAGGTCTTTTTACGTTTTCATTCAAAGATCTCTGGAGCCAAAAGCAATTTGGCCTCCCCTCCTCTCATTCAAGCCACGCAAGGAGCAAAAAAACAGAAGATGAGGCAGAGAAGAGAGCAGAGGATCGGCGTCAGGTGGGGACAAAAAATCACACCGGATATCATCAGCGGCGCGGCCGAACCTTCCGAATATTAATTCTCCACCGCGTCAAAAGTTAAACGTGCATGCAAATTTAGAACTTTTACGTGCGTTCAAAAATATAAATTGCAAAACTGTAGTAATTCGAGTGGAAATTTAAAATCACAACATTGAATAGAATATTCTTAATATAGTGATTTGGTTTAGATCTCAAAGTTTAAATATTATGTTTCAAAGTTCAAAGTTGTAAAATTAAATCAATTAAAATGAAGACTACCCTCGAAAAATATGAACATTTTTTTTTAAACTGAAATTACATTTCACTGTAAGATGATAATAAACTAATGCAGTTAATTTTTTAAGTTTAATGGAAATTTATACATGAAATGTAATTTGAAAATTGCGTAAAAAAATGTGATTAAGTTAATTTTTGATTGAAAGGAAGTTGGAATAATTAGATAATCTCACCAGGGCACTGAACCCAGGGTTGCCAGAACATGGACGGTGGTCGGCATAGGGCCACTTGCATCATGGTTGAACGCCAGCTTCCAACTGAGAACCCAACCCAAGTCGCTCCCTGGCCGGCCGGCGGACCGACGGCGCAGGTAACGGCGGCGGCGAGAGCGCCCTGAAGCCACCCAGCAGCCAACCTGCCTCTCGACAACCGCGGCGGCGCCTCCTGCGTTCAGACCAATGAATGCCCGCAACCCTTTGACGCCTTCCGCCGTGATTTTAAATTGTCTGAGGAGGAAAGGTCGCTATAAAAAATAGTCTTTCTCCTTAAATTACTTGCTAATCGATACAAAAAAATTATCCTGCCTAAATATTTAATTGTGTGGAATCTAAGCGTGTTTTAATGGTTCTATCTTGAATTAATATGAACCAGTCAACATCGTAGGTAAAATTGGAAAGTTTTAATTTCTGAGATTTGCAAATTTGTAATTACAGTTAAATTAGAGTAAAAATTTACAGAATTTCTGAAAAAATTTACTAGAAAAGTGCATTAAAACTATGCATGAATCCCTTAAAGTAAAAGAAATATTAAGAAATTAAGCAAATAGAAAAAGCTTTTTTATCTTTAAGCACATTCTACTAAATTAAAACTAACAATCAAGAAGGTTAAAAGAAATGCGACAAGTAAAGAACTTTTGCAGCATTTTATTGAAAAATTGAAAAAAAAATCTAATTATTCATTAACTCCGATCAATAAAATTAACAAAAATTTGATGCTTTAATCATAAATTGAACAAAATTTAACATCCTCAAAGCTAATTTTGATTTTTAAATTTTTTTTTATAGCATCTATGAAAATTTTAAGGCTTGAAAAGACTAATTTTAGTGGAATTTTTTAAATGTGCGTGCCTTCCCTTAGATTTCTCTTTACGAAAGGAATTAATAAAAAGCCTTTCACAAGACAAATTTTGATGTATCACAGTTCACGGTTTATAGGCGATGCTGCTGATCTCCTGCGCTGATGCATCAGGCGAATAATTCATATATTTTATGCCCCAAAGCTGTGAGATACGAATCGCCTCTGCGTTTCTGCTCCAGGGTTATGCATGCAAAATATTATTTTATAATGAGTCGTGATGCGAGCGAAATGGATCTGAATTTCTGAACTGCGAGTTTTGAATCGAATGTGGCCTGCAGGAGCAGAGGCTGCGGGCACTTTCCGAGAATGAGCCGCATCACGAGATTTGTCGTGACCGGCGGTTGAGGCCTCATGAATGAACATCCAAGCCACTCTCGCACGCAACACAAAAGTCGAGGCTGAGAGAATTAATTAATTGCGACTTCCATTATTGTTTGCTCTCCAAAACGGCTCTGCTTGCGACACCTTTTTCCTCCGCCCTGTGTGTATAAAACCCGATTAGCCGCGCTATTCGCGGAATGCGCCGCGCCACAAAATTATAAATTTATTATTGGCCAGGAAATTTATCCCAAGTGCTGACAGTGCCCCGCGTTTCTTTCTGCCGGATGTCGCATTTTTGTTTTCAAAACTGCCTCTGTCAATTTGAATTTGTGCTGGCTCAGTATATATTGCTCGAATTGCTAATTAAAATAGTAATTAAATTTTAATTAATTCAGTAATTCATGAGAAGCTCAAATTTTACCTTTTGGCAAAAGACGATACCAATTATTCGTGACTTTTCCATTGTTTGCTTTCTTTAAGCTCCTAATTTCATTACTATTATTTTTTTTGTGTGAATAAATTGGCGACATTAATTTTTATTTTTTTTTTATTTGAATGGTAACAAAAAGATTTTATTCTAAATTTTATTCTGCTTAAAAGAGATAAAAATTATTTCTATTTAATTGATGTAATAATATTAATTTTATTTTCTCAACTAAATACGATTTTCTCATGCATTAGGTTTTATTTAAAAATTACTTTAATTACTTAAAAATTTATAAGTTGTTTGATTTTTTTTTTTTAATCAACAGAAACTCTTATTATTGAAAAAAAATCAGTATATATAATAAAAATTATAAACATTAAAACTTTTGTCTCAAAATGATAACTTTGCAATAAACAGATTTATTTTTTAATCATGTGCTCGGGATTCAGAGAAATCTATTTAGTACGCCGGACAGTCACGGGCGGCAGCTTGAAATCGCGCATCGAACGCCTCCTGCCTGCTGCAATTCGAATCAGAATTGTACCCTGGGAGATGCAAAACACGGCAACATTCCTAAGCGAGTGCACTGCGCGCCCACAGGGGGCCGCGCCGGCCCCAAAGGGCCGCAGCATTGATTGCAACCAGCCCGTAGCTATGGCAACGGGACGGATCTCAAACCCCACACCCCGCACCGGATCAAATTTGCAAACGCTGCACAAGACAACTTGAGACGATATATAGGAATTTTAAATCAAAATTTTATTTTTAAATAAATAAAAATTAGGACTGCATAATAAAATAAAAATAAATTCACGAGCTCTTAATTTTTTTATAATTAAAATAAATAGTTATGAGTTATTATAAAATATCATTATATATTTCAAGGAAAATTCCGAAATTAAAAAAATAATAAAATTAAAAAAAAATACTTACTTGTCACTCCGGACTGGACCATAGTGGCTGCTCTGGAGAGAACTTCCAAAGGAGACTCTACCACAGAGTTGTCCATTATCTGCAAAAAAATCAGATACATTTTTTTTTATGAAATTAAAATCGTCGGTGGAATTTATTAAGAAAAAAATAGAACGGAGCTCAAACTTTCTTTCTGTGGGAACGGTACTTGGCTAAAAAAAATACTATCAAGCTTTTTATTTTGTCTACGTCATTTGAACGTCAGAAAAATTCTTGTGATTAAAAAATAAATCATTACAAAATAACATATCAAGGTTAATTAGAAAAAAAATTTTATGAAGAAACAATTTTTCAACCAGAATGTAAAATGTGCATAAAAATAAAAATATGACCTTTCAAAAGCTAATAAAAATTTCAATTAATTAAAAATTAAAAAAGTTTCCAGTGCTAAATTCACGCGAGCACATTCCTCGGCGGCGGCTGGCGAAACCCTAATGAAATATTCCCCATAAGGTTGCACACTTTACCATACCGCCAAGGTACGGCAGGCACTCACCTTCAGCTTCTATTTATTATCTGCAAAGGAAGTGAAACCGAGAGAACAAAGGGAGGGCCCGCTGATAAGGTGATCGGAAGTGTCGGCCGCTCGTGAAAAATAAATATAATCGGCGAGAAAAATGCGCACTGACAGGCTAGATTTTCGTGTCACGAGTCCCCCTGCCTGTACCCTGGAATGTCAATGGGCGAGAAAACACATACACGGCGCTCTATAGCACTGCGTTCGGTGTATACGAGCGAGAGAGCAAAACAAACACGACGTTGCGGGGCGATCGGTTCGGCGCGTCTGATCCGTCGTCGCGGGGCCGCGGATTCCCCATTCGGGCCCAGGGTCTTACCTGGTGAAACGAGGCTGCTGCAACCGTCTATCGGTATCGATCCTGCTCACAGATTTCCGCACATCCCGTCGCTTAGGCCGTCAGAGGAATTTGTGGTATGGCAAAAATGCAGAGAATCGAAGCCGACCTCCTTACCAGACCCACCATTGCCATCTTGGACGAAGAATGCCAACCAAACCGATCTACTTAGCGGGCGGGAAATTTCAAATTTCCAGATTTTTTAAGTTCGGGCGAATTCGGTTTTGCTCGGTTCACGGTTCGCCCGCTGCAGCGCCCCGTCCGACAGACGCCATTTTTTAGCGAACGCCGAGTGCCGATTATTTGTGGCCCCAGAATCGCGCCGATTGAGCTTCTAATTTTGTCATGGACTTGACATTCAACGGGTTAATTAGGTAGCTGGCAAATTCAAGCGTTCAACATGGAGCACGTGCGTTCGTTCAATGCAGAGGTGCGTTTGTTTAAATTGGTTCGCCGGACAGCAACACGTTTGCGTCCGAGAGTGCATGTTCCCATTTGTGATTTTCCGTATTTGTTTGCAGCTCTCGTCTCTGTACGAGGTCAAACCGCCTATTTCGAAGGCGAAGATGAACAACCTCACCAAGACAGCCATCAAAGCCATCAAGTTCTACAAACATGTTGTTCAGAGCGTGGAGAAATTCATACAAAAGGTTGTTATTTTCAAACTGACTTTTTTCAATGTTTAATGGTGTTTTTTTTTCAGTGTAAAATGGAATACAAAGTACCTGGGTTGTACGTCATCGACAGTATTGTGAGGCAGTCGAGGCACCAGTTTGGCGCAGACAAAGACGTCTTTGCACCGAGATTTGCAAAAAATCTCTACTTGACATTCACACACCTCTTTCAATGCCCTCCTGAAGACAAAGTATGAAACAAGTGCAAAATTTAACTTTCATAATCGTAATTTTTCTTTGCAGAGCAAAATCATACGAGTGCTGAATTTGTGGCAGAAAAACCAAGTTTTCACTGCCGATATTATTCAGCCCATTTTCGACTTGGCAGACCCAAATAAAAGGCCTGAGCCTACTGCAAATGGAGTCACTGTCAAAACTTCGCCTCAAAAAGCAGTGACAGACAGCAGCACACCAAAGTGGCCTGAAACTGCCGGAAGCACTCCGAAGGTGATGAACGCGCCACAAGGAGACCAGCAGCATTCCTTGGTACAGCAGCTACAGACTCTGCAGCACCTGTTTATATTGCAGCAGCAACAAGGGCAGCAGGAGCAACAAGTACAGATTTTTCAACTTTTAATATCTAGAGAACGTTCACTACATAAAATTTCCTTTATATAGGTTAAATTTGACAAGAAGCTGCTTGATTTTGATTATGGTGACGAGGAGGAAGAAGATCACAACGATGGTTCCAACCAAGCTGGGCAAGGAGGGGATTCTCTTCCAGCTCTAGAGTCTCTTGGAAAGTAAGAAAATTATAAATAATTATAAACTTGAAAAAAAAATTGCAGTAATAAACTTATATTTACTCTTAAGAAATATATTAAATAATATTCATAATCTTTTTAATATTATAATGGTGCAAGAAAATAGAATATTACCAAATTAATCCTTTTCGTTGCAGTCTTCTAGCTAATCCGGTAGTGTTAAGGCAACTGCAGACTTTGCAAATGACAGTGAGCCAACAGCAACAAGTAGAGATTGAAGAAAAAGTCAGGCGACTGCAAGAAATGAAGCAACAAGAGGCTGAATTTGACAAACACCTTGCGCAGACTGTTCCTGTATGTGTATATAAACTTTTAAAATGTGTGTTTGACTTAATAAATTGTTTCGCAGAATCTGCCTTTTGCAAGCCAATGTGAACTGAAGCCCATTCCGATATCGGAGCTGAAAGCAACGCCGAATGAAACTAATGTTGATCTTAGTGCATTTGGACTTGACATGTCAGTGCCACCTCCCGGTTATTCAGCCCTGTTGTCATCTATTCAGCAACAAGCTCTTCTAGGCGTTGATATATCTATGGATGCTGACTTAAGAAAACAACAGTAATTCTTTGCACCTGCATTTGGGAATTTAAATAACTCATTCATTTTTGCAGAGTGCAAATTATAAGTTTAGATTCTGGTGACGAAGGGAAATCTGAAAGAAGTAGGTCCAGAAGTAGATCTCCTAGAGGAAGGCGGCGAAGAATGAGATCTAGGAGCAGAGACAGAAGAAGAGGACGTCGATCCCGCAGTAACTCGCGGGGTAGACGTTCTAGAAGTAGATCAAGAAAAAGAGGGTCTGTACAACCTTCTTACTTTGAAAATTTTTATTATATGTTTGTAAACACAGGTTGCCATCAGGCAGCAGAGATAGAGAGGAGCGTGAACAAGAAAGAGAGAAGGAAAGAGAGCGAAAAAGGAAAGGACTAGCGCCAGTTAAAAAAGATCATTTGAGTGGTAGGTTTTGGCCTGGCATAAAGTGATGTATTGAAGACTACGTCGAACCCTAAAGTTTGCAGCACAACACTCTGGGTAGGGCACCTGTCTAAGCTGGTCCAACAAGAAGAACTTTCCGATACATTTGGAGAGTATGGAGATATCATTTCCATAGATTTGATACCGCCGAGAGGTTGTGCTTTCATCTGCATGAACCGTAGGCAAGATGCGTATAAGGCACTCAACAAGCTCAAAAATCACAAAATGCAGGGAAAAGTTATTACTGTAAATACTTGACAAGTTTGTAAATTGAAGGAATTAATTTTGATTTAAAATTATAGTTGGCATGGGCGCCTGGTAAGGGTGTGAAAGGCAAAGAATGGAAGGACTACTGGGAGGTGGAGCTTGGAGTGACATATATACCCTGGGTCAAATTGAGCAGAGAAGTCAATATGGAGCAGTTTGAGGAAGGTGGAATGGTAGACGAAGAAACAATACCTGACTATCTTAAAAGTAGGCTTTTTGCTTTGTGCAAAATAGAAACAGGAAGTCTTAATTTTCCACCAATTTTAGATAAAGCAGCGCAGCAAATGATGCCCCAAATGGTTCAGCCATTCCTTCAAATGCCGGAGGCCATAGCAGCCGCCACAGACACCTCTCAACCACCACCTAATGCGGGAATGCAAACAAACAATCCTCTTGCCATGGTTCCACCATTCAGCTTGCCTCGTAAGTTCTCTTGGTTTTTCCTGCACTTTTTTTTGTATTTTTATAAACAGATCCTAAATTAATTTAACAGAATCTACTCTGTGTTTAAATGTGGGGGTATCTTAAAAATTATTGTTTAAATATTTTTTCAGCACCACTTACTCTGACGATGAATCCAAATTTGGTTTCTATGGGCGTTCCTCCCCCTGGAATGCTGCCTATGGTTGTTGGCCCCTATGGCGCTGCCAACCCTTTGCTGTCCACATTGGGTCAAATACCTCTTCCGCCATCGGCTCCTCCTGGCCAAGACAAATTGCCTGAGGTGAATGTTCCACCGCCAGGACCAAACATGGGTGGCGCCGCTCCCCCTATGGAAATGAATCTGCCTGATAAGCTGCTGGACAGTGATATCATCATGGAAGACGCCAAACGGGGTGCAGGGAACCAAATGAGACTTAGTGACGAGCTGCTGGCTACCCTGAAGGGTGGCCCTCCACCTATTGGGCGTGAGGGAAGAGAAAGACGACCAAGGAGGGACCGCTGGGAACGCAGTCCTGAAGAACAGCAGTGGCACGCCAACAGGGATGACAGCCGCGCGCAGCCAACCACTTCAGTTCAGGATAGGCTGAGGAGTTTGGCACATGGAGATTATGACACCGGAAGGTAAGGACCAGCCGATTTTTCTATATAAAATTTATTTCCTTACTTTACCTTTTTATTTGGGCGCTCTTATCTTCACGAATTGGTATTAAGTTATTTACACTATAAATATTAATAATTTGCACTTCTTTTCAGACAGAATTGCAAGGGTTTGGGAATTATTTGTCTTATGATCTGTTGCTAATTATATCAGAATTGGCTAATTTACTTCTCTTACATCTATTCAAAATAATCAATTAGCAAAAAACCTTTTTTATCTTAAAACCCAATAATTAGAAAGCTGCAAATTGATTTAAAAATTCTATTGTTTGTAGAAATTTCTAAACTTGATAGTTTAAAGGAGACATTGGTAAGGGAGCATTCCATTGCACTACACTTCTGGAAACTAAACTCTGGATTTTCTTTCTTTTTATTATTATTAAATTATTTTTATTATTTTCAAAATCGGATTTTCCAATTCTTTTATATTCTTTTTCCAGCTTCACAATTAGGAGCAACATAATTTTTAATCAGTATTCACATTGTTTGAAACTAATTGATTTGACCTTGCAAATTTAAACATATATCCAAGAATTAAAAATCTATAAAAAAAAAACATTTATTTACTTGAAAATATGTTCTTTTTTGCATATTTTTCTTTGATGATTATGGCCATCTTGTTTTCTTTAATTTTTATTTAAACATAAATAAGCTAATTGCACGATATATCCCATTCTTTATCACTGTGACTCATAAATATATTGATGCACTGGAATCTTATTACGTATATAACATAGATTGGTGAATTAAAATAAATTATAATTTTTTTCATAACAAATTAAATAGGGAATTGAAAAGAAATTACATTTGTAAATTTTTTTATAATGACCAAAATATTTGCTTTTGTTTGTTTTCATTAGATTGGCTGGCCCCCGAGACCATGACTTACGCCTCTCTCCAGAGCGAGGCATGTCCCCGCCAAGGGAACCTGAGATGATGATTGGAGTTGGAGAAATAATGGACTTCATGGGTCCGCCAGGTGGACCCCCTCCTCGCCGCTACAGTCCTGACCCATACGGTGGCCCCTCCATCCTGGGACCTCCACCTATTCACGATGGCTTCCGTGGCCGAGGCCTTCATGATGACTTTGGCCCTCCTGTAGGCCCTGACTTTGGGCCACCCTTTGACGACTTTCCACCAAACGGAAGACCTTTTGACGACTTTCCTCCGGATCCGTTTGATGGCCCACCCCACGATGATTTCATGGACCGAGGGGACTTCTTTCCGCCACACCACGATATGTTCAGACCAAGGTCCGAAGGTTTCGGCATGCGCATGATGGGCCCTGGAGGACCACCCATTCGAGGTAAGGCAATTTTGATTTTTTTTTTCCAGGCGTTTTTCCTGTTTTATAAGGGATCTTCCATCAAATTGCTAGCTGGTGTTTCTTGGGTTGAGCAAAGTTTTCTGTTTTTTCAGGCATGTTCCGAGGCCCGAGAGGAGGACCCATGGGCATGAGAGGGCCTCGACCCATGCGAGTAGGACCACCAGGTATGAAAACAACTGGCTGTGCCATTTTTATCTTTGGGGATATTGAAAGGTCTCTTTGTGTTTAGGAATCATCTGTCTTTTTAATTAAATTAAATTGACCACTTTTACTTTCATTCCAATGTGTTGAGATGTTATTGAATTTTATTGAAGGTCATTTCATTTGAAAGTAGACTTCACATTCAGTTCATAATGTAAAAGTATCCATTTGTTAATTTCTGTAAATTTCTTGTTCAGAGTGAACTGTATTATAAAATAGGATTTTATAACATGTAATATATATTAACGTAAAATTTGAATTATTCAGTGGATTTGAACTTCCTTCAGCTTAATACTTAAGACAGACGATTCTAAAAAAAAAAATGGTAGTTTTCATTCTTGGGTCTTCATATGGGCCTTTTAGGTTTATGCATGCGCCGCTTTGAAGTATTTTTGCTCTTGAAATGGAACCTCGTATGCAAGCGCATAATAATTTCAGGTGCCATGTGGCATGAAGGCGACGGCCTTCCTTTTGACCCGATGGACGATGGCTTTAACGATGTGCCGTTCTTTGACGAACCTATGGATATGCACCCAGATATGCACATGCGGCGCCATCGAGAGCGCGGTGGCCGTGGGCGCTTCCCTCGCGGCCGTCATGAAGGGGGTCGTTGGGAAGAGGGCGGTCTAAGGGATGGCCCTAGAGATATTCCAAGAGACGGCCCTCGAGATGGCCCAAGGGATGGCCCTAGAGATGTTCCAAGAGATGGCCCTAGAGATGTTCCAAGAGATGGCCCTAGAGACGGCCCAAGAGATCTTCCCAGAGACGGCCGTAGAGATGGTTCACGAGACCGTACAGAAGAAAGAGGCCCTCGAAGGGAGGATAATGGCCGGCGAGAGGAACGTCCACGAGATGAAGAGCAACGACGTGAACGAGAACGCAGCCGACCTTCTCGCTGGAGCAAAGTCAGTCCTCCACCCCCTGAGATAATTGCAGCTGAAGCGCCTCCTGCCGTCCCTGACACGGTCCCTGAAAAGCCGTCAATACCTTCTGCAGTAGAAAATGGAGGAGGAGAAGGAGAGCCAGAGCCCGCTCCAGAACCAACCCCTGTTGCTGCTGCTGAAGAAACTGCACCTGAGGCGTCCGCTGACTAAGAAAATAGGAGCCTTTGACCAATGAGCTGTGATCAGACGATGCCAAAGAGATTTTTATGGGCTATTTTTGCAATAATAATGTTCAAATTTTTAAAATCTTGACTTTTCTTTGAACTGAATGAACGAACCCAGCAAAGGTAGGTCTGATCCAGCCAGCAGCAAAAGGACTCCGCCAGCGCCTGCACTCTAACGCAGTGTTTGGTGCAAGGTATTGTGTACATACTGTGGAAACACGATTTTGATTGTGAATAATTAATTATCCGATTGTATGGCATGCCTTTCGATGTGAAATAAAAAAAAATTCGCCGTCGAGCAAACGATACAACTTTTATTCAGGGTTCTCACGAGAGCCAAACTTCACTCATCACTTCCTTAATTTAAACCAATCTATATTTATAAAGTAACTTACTATTAGATGGATAATAAAACTGACAATAGTTCTGCGAAATTGACTCAGCTCAGTCGGGCTTGTATGTAGGATCGTACATTATTTTTATGAAAACTTTTAGTGTTTGAGAGTTGGAAATTTTATTTCCAAATAAATCGTTATATAATTCTTATCAAAACTTGAGATTAGCAAGGCAGATGAAAAAAAAATCAAGAAAATCCACTCGTTACAGTTAAATTATAGTCAATATTAGCAAATAAATTTCCTTTAATAATTAAATGATTTTCAATCGTTTCTTCTTTCCAACAGTTACAAGTAATGTTTAGGAGTTATAAATTTGTATATATTCTCTTAACAACCTTTCTCGCTAATTGAGGGTCATTGCACTCGTCTCTCTACATAGCTAGGTTGAGAGGCATGTCATACAATTAATATAATGAATTTATTATTCACTTAATCATAAAATCGTGTGCAGTACATTGCACTATTCCCGAACTTCCAGATAAAACAAGTAGGAAAATTCACCCCCACGTTTTTTTTTGCCGGCACCTGCAGTGCTGGTGCCATCTAGCAGGGGGTGCGTTTGATCACTACCAACCCTGAGATGTCAGCTGCTTTATACTCCGCGTTGTGAAGTAGTTTCTATCGTTTTCTATACATTCGTTTACTGTAGTAACCAAAAACAAAAGCTATTGAAAAAATCTTAAAGCAATAGTAATTCTTCAACTGAAATTATGAATTTATAACGGAATTCATGTGCAACTTCATTAACAGCGGATCGAAGATGATAAAGTAGTTCGCTGCGAGCTTCGAAGAGATCCTTGCGCCGTAGCCATAGAGACACCATTTGGTCGCCCGTCAACAACAAACAGGTAAATAACTGCCCTAAAACGCCCAAATTGGAAGCCCTAAAATTTTCACGATGCCCATCGATTCCGCTGGACTTCAATCTCCGTCCCTGAAAATTTTTAAATTTACCGCTGGCCGAAATTTAGGCGAAAACGATGCAATTGTTTGGTTTCCATGGCGACCATTGTTGTTAGGGGTCGAAAATTTTGAGTAAAATTTCAGTGGATTGCGGCCGTTTCTTGCGGACTTTGGCAATTGCGAATAATCTTCCGATTGGCAAAACTTGTGTGTCCGACGTCTGTCTTGTGCAGAAGTAAGTAGGTTGTGCCGCAAGGCGAGCGGACAGCAGACACTGAGGCCCCTTCAAGGTCCAGGGGGTGAAACGTTTTTGCACCAAAGAGCGAAAAGGGATGATGAATTGGATTTTGACATTAGTGCGCTGCCAATTTTAAACTCCACTCTAATTAAATAAATTCAAAACTTAAAAGAAAAGCAGAAAGTTTTGGTGGAGAAAATTTGCACTGAATTAATTCAGGGGTCACGATTTGCTTTATTTTGTTAAAATTAATTTTTTTTCGTCCGTGTAATCAATGGGGTGGGGTGGCATTTGGTGGAACTTCACGCTGTATGAACCTGCAGCACCTGGCTAAATGTATTTCTGTTGTTCCCAGAAATGAACGTTAATTTGATTATTATTCACTGTTGAGTTTATGTGCCGCCGCCGACAACTGCAACCCGCCGCCGTCCACCAAATTAAATTCATTGTCAGTGGAATTCTCTCTTTGATTGGGTCAAAGAGAGGATCAAATTGCCGCCGCCGCCGTCGAGCAGGGATTTTCCATTCTTGTAAATCCTCAAAAGGAATTATTATTGCTACTGATATTTGTCGTGGGAAAACATGGGTATGTATTTTAATATCATCTACAGAGGATATAGTATTATTATGTATGTGTTATTTTACGATATCATCTCTCGTCCACCTCAATTCCTTCAAACGGTGTGGGAGCACGTGGAGGAAAACCCGCAAAGCTCCTGGATCCTGGTTTAATCCATCATCCCTCAAAATACACGCATGCACTGCGCGCTCGAGCACAATGCAAATCTGTGGGCTTTCAACATCCGAATGAGGAAAGTTCCTCTACGTGATCTTTACAGTTGCCCACATTTTCCTCTTCAATCCACGCTGAAATATGAGCTTATTCAGCGCAAAAAAAATCAATAATCCATCTGGAGATTTGGGATCATATATTTTGATTTTTCATCCGATATAAGTTCCTGTTTGCATTTAGGAATTAATTTCAAATTATGTTTTTTGCTGAAACATGCAAACAATTTCCTGTTCAATTTTCCAATTGCATACAATCTTTTTAATTAGTCAAGAATTTTTAATTTCCTTTTAATAAGACACTGAGTGAATTTTTACTGGCTGGATCTCGTAATATATTTTAAATTGTTTTTCTATAAAAGAAATTTTATTATTATTTTAATATTTTTTTGTCCTCTGCGCAAATGTCCTTTTCGTTATAACTGTAAATTCTGTCTGTTGCCAATTTTGCACATTTTAACCCCTTTGTTTTGTTTCTTAGTAAGTCTTTTTAATCACTTTTTATTAATTTTAATGTAGTTGATTTTTTTTTTTTTGCTTTAGTCAGTTTTAAAATTTATCTAGGCCCTCCGGCTTTTTGACAAATAATTAAAATTAATCTTTTTATTGCTGTTTATTTGTTAGTGTGCTGAATTTTTATTTATACTTGTGTCGTATTCGCGTTGTTAAATTTTTCAAAAGAAATTTTATCGTGAATTCAGAAATTTCAGAAACTGAGTGAGGGAGAAAACCAATTGAAATGTCAAAATTTCAACTTTTAATTGGAAAATTCAACATTTTTTAATTGTTTTCCCGGGCATTGGTTTTTTGCTCAGTTTCTGGATCCACGTAAAGATTTTTATTTTTTATTGTTTTTTATTTGTCCTGATTTGTCCAAATAAAATCCTACAGAATCATTTTAAAAAATGAAAGTTTTCGCTCATTCTGAGCTTGCAAAAACAGAAAACACCTGTCTTGTTTTGAGACAGAGTCTGCATCTCTTCCTTACCCTTTTTCGATCTTAACGAATTCGATTTCATAAATGACGAGCCATGGCGGCGTTTAGCAATAATTTAAATGAAAAAGTTATTGTGAATCGAAACGCTTTATTTCGATTCGTTTGAAGTTTACCTGGAAAATAAGTTGAGTGCAATAATCACGCTCTGGCGGCGGCGGCGCTTTTTGTCGTACACTTGTCAATCAATCAGCGCGATTTTTATTAAAAAACGGCTCGAGGGAGGCACGTGGCGCAGGTGGACGAAAAGCAGCGGGACGAACTGGGTGCCCTGTAATTAGGCGCGTGTGTCTTGTTAAAAGTTTCTGATCTCGTGCACACGCCTTTTTTGATGTTCAAAGAATCTGCCTGCGTGTGCCGCAGAATGGAAATCGGTGCGCGATCGACTCTAATCCTCGGCGTTCGCTCTTTTTCGTTCCGACTCACTCAGAAATAGCAGCGCGCAACAAATAATAAAGTCTGTGAATCAATCCCGGCGACAAGGCTTGCCTTCCGACGGGGAAGCTCCAATTTCTTTCTCGCCTGCCGCGACACAAAAGCAGCTCAGCTTCCCCGTGTCGCCGCCCTTTGCTCTCTGCTCGCCAAATAGAAACTCGCAAAAAAATCATTCCTTTCTGCTTCGCCGAAAAGCGCACTTTATTTGTCTGCATCCGCAATAATTGGCCGCTTTTGTGTACCTTTTTTCTATTGCAGAGAGCTTGCAAATTTCTTTTGTGACGATAATTTTGCCGTTTGAAAAGCCAAATTTCAAAATTTCCAAACTACAGAAATCGGAACAATTTTGTAGTAGAATTTCACGATCCAGGGTTGATTTGTGGTGATTTGAATTTTTAAGTTGGTTTTGTCTCAATGGGTTTTGTGAGTTGTTTATTGTTTAAATAAAAAACAATGCATCCTGCTCTACATGTTTCGGCTGCAGCCATAATTCATGAGCTGTAAAATCATTTTGATAAGAAGCAGTAAAAATTTAACTTTAAATAATTTTTCACGGAAATTATTACTTTGAAAGAATAAATAAATTAAGATGAGATTGATTTTTTACTAATTCTTGTCAAAATGATTTCACAGCTTATGAATTATGGCTGCAGCCAAAGCATTAACTTTATTATTTTTGTGTGTGACATTTTGTGAGATCAATATTAAGAAGATTTAGTGCAAAAACTATTCAGTTTTATTACAATTATTTTAAATTACAAATAATAACAAACGTTTGTACCAACAGATCATTAAGTTTGTTATGCTCCTATCGATCTATACCTTACAATTAATTTACTACAAGTGAAATTTATAAAATTTTGCATGCTTAATTAATTTAATCTCAAAATTGGTATTCTTTTTACTTTTTTAATTTGATAATCATCTATTAAGTAGCTAAAAATCGTTGTTTGATCCTTTATGGGTTTTTTCACTAAAGAGAACAAGATTAGTTCTTCTTGATTTTTTTTTTCTTATCGATCATATGTGAAAGTTTGGTCAATTATTAATATTTATTTTTTCTTTCTATTGCATTTTTTATTGCATAGTTGCCGCGCATTGCTGGTGTAAGATTCCATTGTCGGGTATTGCATTGCAGAGCATTGTCGTAATTTCAACTGCTTCTTTGTTGCACCCCCGCGCGTGCGATCTCACAAGTGCGTTTCGATTCAAAGCGGAAGGGACGCGAATGAGTCAGACCAGGTGTGCGAGTCGGGGGAGGCAGGTGGATGCAGACAATATTGGGGACGCGGGCAGGCAGGGGTGGTTCGTTTGGCGGTGCAGTCGGCGGACGTAATCATTGTGCGTCGTGCGCGAGGTGGATGGATACCTCAGCAATTAGTCATCTATCGCTCACACAAGTCTGAGCTCGCTATCTGCGTAATTGCATTCTGCGAATGCGCTCATCCAGAATATCGCCGCGACGGGTTAATTAATATTGCTGCTGGTCCGCGACAACCACGCTCAGGGTCCACTGCTTTCGATATAAAAAAAATATATATTGTGATAAAGTTTTAATGGGAATGTACTATTGAAATATTATTTATTTTGTCGCGTTGGTTTAGCCAAGCTTAAAACGACATCATTAAAACTCCATCTGATTCGTTTCGGTATTTTTTATATATTTATTTATTGTAGGATAATAATTTATTGTTCAAGTTGATCGTTTTTATATTTTAAGTTAAGATTTTAAAATCTGAGAAATAATTATAGGTATAAGAGACACGAGTATTAGATAATTGAAATTTGTGAAAAATATTTTATTTTCTAAAATCCTCCAAAACCTTTGCCTTTTCAACAGCTGCATAGTACACTGGACTTTGCCTCTACCTTAAAAATAATTAAGGCAAAATGATATGTATTATCAATTAATATCTAAAGAGAAGTCACTTTCTTAATGTCAATAAATCTGTAGACTAGATTTTGAAAAAAAAAAATAAAAACTAGTCGATGAAATGATCAATCTCTGTTCAAATTATTTCCAGAATTATTAGAATGCGGCATTATGCTTGCAAAAATTTATTATCATATGGCTAAAAAAATTGCAACACGAATAATTTCTTTAGTTTCTTAAAAAAAAACTCCGCACAAAAATTAAAACAAGTTTCTCTTTGGGAAGGAAACCTAAATTACGCTAAAATTAAATTTGGTTCAAATCCTTATAAATTTTGGTATTAATTTATTTATTTATTTGCGCATTTTTGTTTCAGTGCGACCGTTGAGGTCCTCGAGCAGCAGCAGCAGACGACACATGGCCCAACAGTCGGGGGCCACCTCGCCGCCGCCCATCTTCCTGCATCAGGGCGAGGGCGGCGAACTGCACGAGGTGGCGGCCGTGGTGATGGACGGCGACCAAGTGGTCACCGTGGTGCCCCAGCAGCAACAAGTGGCCACCCAGGTGCGCGTCTCAAGGGGCGGGGGCGGCCTCGTTGCCACGGACAACCCCTCCTCCCAACCTCTCTGGCTGCTTATCTCCCGCACCCTCCCTTGCTCGCACTCGTTTTGCCTCTTGATGATAACCCGCTGCCGCTCTTTCTGACTCATTGCAGACTGTTTTGGAAGAGGCCGCGGTAGACGGAATCGACAACTCGCCCCGACAGGTCACAGCCCAGGTCGTGGTCAGCAGTGCTCCTCAAACAGGTACTGAAAATTATTTATCTCTTTAAATTTTGTATTATCGCATTGTCAATAATTTTAACTTGATCACGCAAGCATTTCTCGTATTATTGCCTCCATTTTTTAAAGCAGGCTTTATGACAGAGCGCTTAAATTTCATCAATTTTGTGCAATGTCAAGCGTTTTGGCATCCTTGTCCTGATTATACTTTCTTTTTTTTAGAAAATTAATTAATCCTTTTGATTTTTTTTAAACTAGTTGCATCAATGCTTTTGTTTGATTTTCTTTTAAAAAATCTCGTTGGAAGGAAAATAAAACAAATTATAATAAATTGCCACACTTCTGGAAAACAAGTTGCTAATACGCGGGGGCGTTACAGGACACGTCTGTTATTAGATGGGCCGCAAACGAATCTGTCAAGCTTCGATATAAAATTTTTTTAAAGTTTTTAGCTATCCTGAGCGAGTATTTTAAAATATAATCTCTAAGCTAAATTACTTTGAAATTAAATTTTACATCATAATAATTAATTTTAGAATTTCAAATAGTTGAAATTAAGAATTTATTTTACACCCCTAACTATTATATAATAAAATGTTATGTTTGACCGAAGAAAACATTTTTATGGCAGGGAAAATTTAAAATTAGTTGCAGATGTTACATAAGAAAGTGGCCTAAGCTGCTGGTATAGCAACAATGCTGAAAATTAAAATAAGACTTCATTTTTATGCTTGCAATTTTATTATATATAATTTATTTATTTATTATCCATTAACTAAGCTACATTTTTTACAGTCAAATAGATTAGAAATTAGAATAAAACAAAATCAGATTAAATTTAAATTGAGCATTTTTTTTCTTCTATTTAGAAAATTATTAATAGCTAATGGCGGTTCAAGATTTTATATCAATTTTTTAGTCAATAATTTTAATATTACTTATAAAAGTAAGAACTTACAATTAAATTAGTGGAGCAATTTTATTCTTCGCTTTTTTTAAGAAATTCCGCAATTGAATTCCACCAAATTAAAGCCTTCTCATAAACTAGTGCACTTCAAAAATCAATCACAATGTGCTCTCAGGTTTCAAGAGCGCCACTCTTTGAGATGGTCGTCGTCCTCTCCACGTCGGCCCCTGGCCAGGGTTTCGCATTTCTTTTGTTTTATTGCGTAGGCATTACAACCCGGTTACAGCCTCCTATATTATATTTTCTTTCTTTCACAATGAAACCAAAAAAGTTTTTACAAAACCTTTTTGTTGTCAAAAAGCATCAAAAGACTTATTATCTGTCTCTTTCCAATTATGAAATTAATTATCTACCACGGCAGCAGAAAAACCGCTTTGAGGAAAATTTTGAGAAAATCTTGTGTATGGTTTCAGTGTCGGTGGTCCCGGTGAGCTCCTCCTTGTCCTCTTCGCCCGTTTCCGGCTCATCTTCGCCGACGGCCGTGGAACCCACGGCCACGCAGCAGTTCATCGCCGTCACAGGTGCTTTTCCCTATACTTGATCCCCACCCACCCATCGAGAGCGCATTTGCACCCCCCGTGTCCCTCCCCGCGAGTAACATACACACTGAAAATGACTAATATTTCTAGACTCGGAGCGGTCTTACGCCTCTCTGACCCCCGTTAACCCTGCTGGTAAGAAGAGTGAGTGTTGTGTGCTGCATGCGCGCGCTGTGTCGAGTGGCCCCGTAAGCGGCTTACCTCCGCTAATTGGACCACTCAAAGGCCAATACACGCACAAACAAATTTTAATCCTGGCTGCTGCCGCTCCAGCCGCGCTCTGTTGTTGTTTTTGACGTTCTCATTTGATGTGCCATTAGCAAATTATGCCACTTGAAGAGACCAATAAATTTATATACCTGCCACTCTCCGCCGCTCCCCATCGGCATCGTTTTCAAAATTTATCTCTCGTTCGCCCTTGTTCCCTTCTGTGGAGTATGTCTTTTCTTGTTTTGTGCAAATTGCGTTGGTCTTTAGAGGGAAGCTTACCTTTCCGTTTTTGCGCAGTGTGGGTGGCTCCTCTAATTGACCGTGGCCCATCATCAGCACACAGAATATCCATCAGCACCACGTTTGTTGTATACTCTTGATGAGATTCAAATTTTTGAAGTGTGCTCCTTCAAATTTTGAGTGGCATTTATTTTTAATTAGCACATGAATATTTTCCTTATTATGAAATTGTTTTTAAAGCAGGATGCTTTTTTAATTATTTTTATCACAGTTTTCTATTTTTATCCCATTTTTTTACCTTTGTACGAAAGAAAATTCTTTTTAAAATCAATAATCTTTGATAGTTATCTTTTTGCTTAGAAATACACAATTAAAATTTATATCTCAACATCATCTCGCTTTATTTTGTCAGAGCAGGAAACAGATATTGCGGATAGTTGGTGATTTCAACAGGGGTTGTTTGTGTATCTGGCCATTGGTCAATGGCTGAATTGATAATTTGAAAATCAACTTCTTTTCCTTTACTTCCGATAGAAAATCTAATCAGACAAATATAAATAAATTATGATGTGCATAACCCAAAATGGTGAATTTTCAAATTGCTTACGTCTGAACCCAAACTAGTCAAAATACAGTTATTTGTTTATAATCAAGGCCAATTTATTCCTAAATGTTAATGCATTCTGCATGATTGTCAACCCTTTGTTGTCCATCCAAAATCTGTTTGATTAACATTTTTAATATTTACAGTAGAATCTGGCGGTGTCCAGGTCGTCACAGGGGACACCGTGGCGCACTCAACTTATGTGCAATATGTGGACGAAACACCTGAGGCGGCCACAATTTATACAACCACCAATGGCCAAATGTAATTAAATCTTTTACCTAATCATTTGAAAAAATATTGATATCTATTTGCATACAGGGCCTATCCTGTGTACACTATGGGAGAGACTACTGCAACCATGTATACTCCTGCTGCTTCAGGACAATATTATAGCAATCAAGGATCAGCCAGCTACGGCCAAGTAGACTGTATTTTATATTAATTTGAACAGTTTGTCATTTTCCTCTTGTAGGGGCAAGCGCAGCTTTTGGCACAGACACCCAACACTGCCACTTACATTTTGCAGCAAGGTGTTGATGCCAGTGAAGCCCATGCTCTAATTTCAAACAGGGCCAGTCCTCCAACCGTCAGTGCTGTAAGTTCCCATTTTTATTGTTTCATTAATGCTCGTGTAATTTAATGAGAGAATTGAATGCAAAGGTGGATGAAGAATTTAAAATATTATAGCTATTATTTTATTACTATAACTGATACTTAAATTATTGATAACATGCCTGAATTTTGGAATGTATTAATCTAAAACGTTAGTTGATTATATTGTCAAGATTTTTTACTACCTTTCATTAACTTTGGGCCTTCGGTTGCTTGTTTTTGCTTACACTTGTAGCAGGAGGTGACAGGTTACATGGTGCCTACTGAGGTAACCAGTAACAACAGCAATGAAAACCTAGACGAAGGTGGCTCTGATTCTGGTGGACATAATTCTCTGAGCCATGCCACTCGCATTTCTCCAGCGACTGTAAGATTTTTGTCTGCTCCCTTCTTGGTTTTTAGTTTTTATTTTAGTTTGATTTTTAAAATTTAACCACATTATGAGCAGATTAATTATAATGTTCACCTCTTACAGGTTCAGTGGCTTGTGGACAACTACGAAACAGCTGACGGTGTCAGTTTACCTCGATCTAATTTGTACCACCATTACCTTCGTCACTGCACAGAACACAAATTAGATCCAGTCAATGCAGCTTCATTTGGCAAACTTATCCGCTCCGTTTTTATCGGGCTACGCACTAGACGACTTGGAACTAGGTATGGAAAAATGTCATTGGCTATAATAAGGTAAAATTATAATTTTTATCCATCTACAGGGGAAACTCGAAATATCACTACTACGGAATTCGAGTTAAACCAACCTCTTCCCTGGCACAGACCTCTGAACAAGAAGAGACTACTGGTACCTCGAATTGTGGCCGTCAAAACTCTGGAAAACGATTCAAGGCTACAATCAAAGTGAATGACTTTGATGGAACGTCTGGCAACCAAAACACAACTAGCACATCTCCACAAATTTCCCAACACCAGCAGTATTTGGGCGAGGCTTCGACAGCTGTACCAGATTTTCCGAACATTGAAGTTGTCATCCAGCTGCCCGAGCAGTGCACCCTTGAAGACGTTGACACCTTCAGAGCCATGTACCGTGAACACTGTGAAGCGTTTCTGGACGCAGTCACCAATCTGGAATTTAACACCGTAGAAAGCCTGTGGAGAGATTTCTGGCGCAGCTCTGAAAATAATAATGACGAATGTGAAGAAGAAAAATACTTGGCAAAGTAATAACTTGAATCTTGCAACTGTTATTGATTAAAAATTTGTAACTAAATGTTTCAGGAGAAAACTATATGCTTTGTGTGAATGTGAGATGATCCAGGATTTCGTAAAGAAAGTCGATTTTGACTTTTACCAGAATCTAGTCGAAGTGTTGATTCCTGATGTCCTTAGACCCATTCCTAGTATGTTTGATTGAATTTTGATTTGTTACCAAAGTTAACCCTGATTTTTTTTTGTAGGTTCTTTGACTCAAGCCATAAGAAACTTTGCCAAGGGACTGGAAGGGTGGCTCTCAAGTGCAATGACTGGGTGCCCAGAGAAGATAATGAATATAAAGGTAGCTCACATTATATTTTTTAATATTTATTCTATAATAACATCAAATCTGATAGTCTATATTATATTATACTTTTAATTGAGATTTTAAAAACTTTTGATTTCTTTGCAGCTCTGTGCCGTGAGTGCATTTGCTCAGACTTTGCGCCGATACACCTCACTTAACCACCTGGCGCAAGCAGCCCGAGCAGTTCTGCAGAACTCTACGCAGATTAACCAAATGCTAGCGGATCTTAACAGAGTAGATTTCCACAATGTGCAGGAACAGGTGCGCAACTATCATCATTGAAAAATTATTCATGTAGTAATTCATGTGTTTATCAGGCTTCTTGGGTTTGCCAATGCGACCCAGACATTGTGCAGCAGCTCGAAGCTGACTTCAAAGAAACTCTGCAGCAGCAGAACTCATTGGAGCAATGGGCCACCTGGCTGAAGAAGGTTGTCGCTACGGTTTTGCAGCCTCACGAAGGCAAAGCTGACTTTGGCAAGGCAGCGAGGCAGTTTCTCCTCAAGTGGTCGTTCTACAGCTCCATGGTGATCCGTGATCTCACCCTTCGCAGTGCTGCTAGCTTTGGATCATTCCACCTGATCAGACTTCTCTATGATGAATATATGTTCTACCTTATTGAGCACCAGGTGGCCCAGGCTACAGGAGAAACTCCGATCGCTGTGATTGGAGAGGTGATTTGTTAAAATTTTATGTTGCGTTATGCTTAGTAATTTTTATTTAATTTCAGAAACAATCATCCGAGGACGGGCCGGAGCGTAAAAGAACTCGTCTAATGAGCTAAAAAATTGCATTCCATATCTTGATTGTTAATGTTCTGATTGTTGTGAGCTCAAACAAGACACATGGAATCACACTGTGTAGGTGTTATTTTTGTAAAGCTATTCGCACACCGTGCAGCTAGTCCAACAGACAACAATGCCTCGTGTGCTCACTGGTTTTTTTGTAATTTTTGTAACAGGGGGAGTCAACAGCTTCCTCAGTCATTGTTGTGCCATCTATAATCGCACTGCAAAGGCATCGCCCCTGCTTGTATCGCCATATGGATAAAAAAGTGGATCATGTTGGGGTGGGCCTCAAGCGCTTGGTTATTTGATGTTTTCCTGTGTGTTGGTTCGATATTGATTGCTTGATTGATTGGTGGTGCATTGCTGTTAATTATGGTTCATTCTCTAGTCACATCATGTGTTCATCTCATCTGCACAGCAGCAGTGTGCAAAGCACAAAAATATAATATATTATTGCTCTATTGTTTGCCACACACACACTCTCACTCACTGAAAAATGTTGAATATTTTTAATTTGAAATAAATTATTCCTGACAAATTGAAGTTTGTTTTTATTTACTTCTGTCGCAAATGACTGCCACCTTGCAAGGCGAGACGCGCTCATCTTGCCTGACACGATGACATTGAATCAGGTCTTTGTCCGTGCATACCAAGGCTCCTAGACTGGATTTCCTATCAATAGTCCGGTTTGTTATGCCAGCGTTTCCCTGCAACTTCCTGCTGAATTAAGGAAACCAGCTCCGGAGTACAGATTTTATAAATAGCTATAGCTTTGCGTCTGGATGGCACTTTACGCACTTTACTCTCACTTCTGCTGGACAACACGTCTCAGCACTGCTCCTGGAACGGCCCTTTTAGTGGTCAGTTGTAGCTGCAGAATTCTTCTTTAGTTTTCAATTGTAAGTACTTTTTTTCCTTCCATATTATACTAAATATCAATTTGGCTACAATTTAGTTATGGCGCAAACGAGTTTTATCGATTGATAAAACGATCATATAATTTTTGATTAGAATATCATGAAGATATGACACGCGTCAAGGGCGTTTATGTTTATAGTATCATTTTGCTTTAAACTTTCATATTTTTATCGAGTTATAAAAGATAAAGTTGTCTTAAACAAGACAAAAAAAAAATGAATTATTTTTAATGTTTTTATGCATTTTATAAATTTATTTCTTAAAAATCAGATCGAGTTAATAATTATAAACCACCATAAAATTTAACATCAATTTCCTAGTATATAATGAGTGCTTTGATGCTTATCATTCATAAAATTCCCTTTCACGGACATCTCAATCTTTTTTATATCATTTTAAAGTGCCAGTCATAGTTACTATAATAAAATTCACCAGCCGTGAAATGTTTAGAGCGGCGTGTGCTTCTCAATAATTAAGAAATTCGGTAACGCATGACTCATGTATTTTAATGCGAATTGCAAATTATATATTATTATATTATACAATTAATGAAAACATAATATATATTATGCACTCTGCGAATAATTAATTTGTGTAGCCTTGATCTTGAACAAAACCAAGCGATATCTAGTCCGCTTAGTAAATTTTAATTAATCGTGCGAATACTGGACGACCCTGTGGGAAATACATTGATGCTATAATGTGTGCTAGTTCTCACATGATATAATGGAACGCACACAGCATGCTATATGTGTGTGTACATTATATTGAGGAAGCTTAGATTTGAAATAAAAAGCAATTTTTCATTTCAATTCTTTACATAAAAAGTGCTAAAATTATATTATCACTAAAATTTTTCAAATGATCTAGAAATAGAATAATTATCTGAGGTTTCAAATAGAAATAACTATAGGATTATTTATAATAGCGACCGAGCACATTTCTTTTATTATTTAAAATGTTGGCGGCGTTGGCGCTGGAATGTGAGGCAGGTGTTGCGCCCCGTTTTGCAAGGAGATCAAACTAAAAAGACCGGTTAAAGGTTAATTAATCTGCAGTAACCGGTGCTTCCTAGGCCAATCTTATTGAATTAACTTGAATAAAATAGTGAGGCGGAATAAACAACCTATTCCTCAGTTTAATCATGGATGGAAGTGAAAATAGAAGGCATGAAACTTGTGACGAAACAAAGCCACAGCAGGCAAGAAAACCGGTCTGTGGTGGGCAGGACCAGAACCGGTAGACGAAATTAGTCGTTCAAGCGCATCCCCACCGACGAGTCTCAAATTCGCCGCTCTCAGCACTCACTTCCGGCTGTATTAATGTCGTTCCGTGGGCGCGCGTGATCCCGAGTAGCTGCTGGAGCTGCGCGAAAGGCCGTGCCGACGTTGACGGAGCCGCCGGAAGCCGAAGGAGCCGAGCTCTCTGTCTGAGAGCTGCAACCACCCTCAGGTGCGAATTCGCCCGGTCGACGTTGACCCCGGCCACGCCCCTCACACCCAAAGCGACCTGACTGCGAATGTGGCCGTCTCTAGTCGCCCCTGAAATGCTAGTCTGACGCGGCCGGTGACTTAAATTGACAGGTAGGACTCGGAAGCGCCAACCTTTTGTGTCTGAAAGTCCACTTTTCCGGCATGAGGGCGCAAAACGAGGGGGGCGGGGCGGAATTCCCGGCCGCACGAAGGCCGCCCGTCGTTCTCGCCGCCGCAGCTTTTTTTCGGCAATCGATTCGTGTGTGGCGGGCACTTCTTGCTTCGGCCACTTTTTACTTTCTGGGTCAGCAGCCACTTATTCCTCTTCTTCTCCACCATCCATTCATTCGAGTGCGGCGGAGTGAGAATGTTAAAAAAAAAAAACGCTCAGGTGAAATTCATCCTTTAGCCGGCCGAAATCGCAGCAGCTGATGACCCACAGCCGAGGGCCGTTGCTTCGGTTTCTCTTTAATTTTCGCTGGCCAACTTTTGTTTTCTCGTCGAGTTGAGTCATCTGATTCTATATCTCAAGACTTTTTGCTGATAAAATTATTTATAAAAAAGTTTCAGACAAAGCGGCTGGCCCCTGTCCACTTGAACGTACGATTATAATATATCAATTCCGAACCAGCGTTCCGCCTGTTTGATTGTGTTGACGTCGTGATTAAAAAAAAAAAAATGGCCTGATGTATATTTCGCGCAGGAAATAATGTGTCATTATATTGCTGAAAACTCCATTTGCTGCAGTGGAAAAATACAATGCTATTGTGGGGCAGGAAAATTTAAATTTATTTATTATTTATTTTGAATTTCTCTGCAGCTAAGAAATAATTATTCTTTAAAAGTTATCCTTACGTGAATAATAATTAATTCTTTATTTGGAAATAGTAAATAATTATAAATCAAATTTAATTCCATAAATCAATGTTAATTAATAATGTGAAATTGATAGAAGAACGCTCAGCGTCACGAATAAATAATCACGAAACATCCTCCTTCTTACTTTTGGCCAATCCGGTGATCAGAATATCAGGCGACTCTGTAAAGTGCCAGTGAAGTTTGTTTCACAAGCCGGATTATTTTGAAAATATTGCTTCTGCCGCTTGTAGACACAACCACGATTGCGTTTCGGTACACAAAAAATTTCTCTGCCGACCTGGTGCGGCATAATTTAAAATTCGCTTTGGTGATAGCGGCGGTGAGCAGTGACCTTAAGCAGGTCATTATCACAGGCTGATTGCCGTTGCATAATAACCAGGCGCACCGCGTGTCGAATTTTTAAAATGCCACCAGCCCCAACACAAATACATAATATCAAGAGAATTTGCATAATATTTGCGTTTTTACTGAGGAAAGGATAATTATTTTCCGAATTGATTTAAATCGTATAGGGCTCGCTTTGATTTTAATCTAAATTATATACATAACTGAGAATTGTTGCGAGTTATTTATAATTTTAATTATATCTTATTTGTGGAAATTTTTACTTTGCACTGACGTCGTTTGTAATGATTAAACATCCTAAGTGCTCAAATTTACAAAAATGTTCAAAATATTTAATTTTGTCACAATTTCTATTATGTTTGTAAAATACTGCAAAAAGAAAAGTGTTTTTTTTCCTTATTGTAAAATAAGTCGTTTTAATGAAATGAAAAAAACCTTTAAAGAAACAAGAAGAAACACAATTCTAAACAAAAAACGACGGCTTTTAGTTTCAGCTATGATTTTTTTTTTATAGAAATCAGCAGAATTTTTTTATGAAAGAATCTTGTTTTGCAGCAATGTAATCATTAAAAACAAAATATTAATAATTAAGAAAATTAATTTTCGAACTATTAGATATTTAATAAAATTTTACTCTTGTAAAAGACGTTTTTTTTTAGATCAATCGTTTGTCAAAATCGTCTAAATTTAAAAATGAGTCGATATATTCTCATTAAAATTTCAATTACAATTCCTCAAATAATATTGTAAAAATAGGTTTTAATTTTATCTTGTAGTTTTAAAAACAAACCAAAAAAAAATACTGCAAATAATATTACATATATTTTTTGACATAATATTATAGGAAAAATTGGTTTCAATTTAAATTGTTTAAAAAAAATGCAAATAATAAATATTATTACAAATGCAAATGTTTTTTGTAAGAATTATTGGAGAAATTGGTTTTTATTTAAATAAAATTGTTGTTGAAATGAAAAAAAATTGCAAATGCTACAAATTTTTTTTTTACCAATATTAAAATCTAATCTATGTAAAAAAAAAAGAAGTAATTTGACACTTTTTTTTCCATAAATTTGCACATTTTACTCGTATTTTTTCTGCTTAAAAATTGCGAATTTTTAGTTTCAAATCAATTTTTTTTTATCCTGGTCATATTGCAGAGGTAAAAGTGAATAGAGGAAAATCTACCGTATCGATCCGACGATCGCGTTCACTTGTTGTGCTCGTTTGTTTTCGCATCTCATGCAGGTGCGAGATGACCACGCGTAAATGGAGGGCAACGAGCTTTAGAGAGGTAGGCGAAATTCCGTTGCTGCGAGTGGCAGTAATAATAATTTATGATTCAACTTTCTTTCTTTCGTTCTTTCTTCCTCTGCGTTTCTTCCACCGCTTTGGCAAACGCGGCTGCTCTCGATTCGGCAGGTGAGTTACTGACCGACTGAGAGCGCCTCTCCGTCAGCCGCTAATTACCGGTGAATGGAATTCAAAATCCTAACGGACCGGCCGGTTTTCTTTTAATATATAATTTGAAAGCAAAAGTAGTGGGGGCCAAAGCGGGCGAGGTCGTGCCGCGGCCTCAGTCTGCCGCCGAGATGCTGGCCCTCCGCGTCTAACCCGTCGCTCCCTCGGCCCGACCGCCACCACCACCACCGTGAGTCAAACCCCCACCCCCTCCCATGCACACACTCACATGCATGCACGAGAGAGCCGGGGAGCACCATCGATCGGGGGTGTCACGGCCGCGGTGGGTGTGGCGCCGACGTCAAACGCCGCCGCCGCCGTCACGTGAGCCACTCTGACGTCAGCGGCCAGGTGCTCTCCCCTGGCAGCCCTCGCGATCAAATCCGCCTGATTAGGACAAAAAAAAAAACGAACCGCACTCGGCAATTATTTGTATTTGCTCCGACGATCGATCCAACTTCTCCACCCCGTGGTGATTGGCACAATTTTTAATCTCTTCTATATCTACTACTAAATTATTGGTAGGATTTTTTTACGAGTTTGTATAGATTTTTGTAGAAATATACGTCGGGTGTATTTTGCAGTTTGGAGAATCGCCTGATTTTACTGTGTTCTGAGTTTTGGTGAGATAAACTTTAAATTAAAACGATTAGCTCCGGGATTAATTGTAATCAGAATTTATGCTTTGGAGATACGATGACGTTTTTAATCAGTTACGCTTGCCGTTTGCTTTGGTTCTATAAAACAAAATTAAATTTTTCATCACTAGCGTTGTCATTAAGAGGATCTGCAGAAGTCAAATAAAAAAAATTAAAAACGTCTGAAATTATCAATCTGTAATTAATAATAAAAAAACGTTCAAATCCTAAATTAAAAATTCCAGCACGGGTCACTGTTATGAATGCTTTTAAGATCAACAACCTTTCTTTCATCTTGGCACGACATTTTTTTTTTGCGGATCATCTCTCAAGACCTTTAAAATTTAACTTTTAACGATGACACGAAAATTCTTTACACTGCAGAAGATGTGCACTTTTTTTCTAACAGCCTTGATTTTATTGAATTTTGTGCGGCTGTGTCAACTTCAAACTTTATTCCGCTCTGGTTTTAATATGCTTTTGCCATGCCATGCAAGTCTCTCTCGACTTGTGGAAGTTTACTTTTTTTGCATGCGACAAACACACACGTGCGCTGGAATGATGTTTTTCGCTCTCCGAGGGGGGCCTTTTTACTCGGAATGCAGCGTCTCCTTGTTTAATTATGCTAATGAAAATCAATTACTCAATCAGACGGATTTTTTGCAAGATAAGCCAGGATTTTGGCTCGCGGAGCGTTTTTACATTTTTAGCCTCGCCACCTGCTGCCTTTTCGCGTTGTCTTTTTGTCTGATCTAGCGGGTCTGTCACCGAAAACATTCTCCATTTCCAAACAAGTTTCCTTTGGCCCAAAATTAACGACCAGACAAATTTCGCAGGTGGTGAACTTTGTTAGGAAGAATAGGACGAGGAAGAAAAATCGCCATAAAGTGCGATGAAAAGAATTCTCCGTTGGGATTTTCCGGCTCTTTCGAGACAGTATATTTGCGTAAATCATTTTTATGCAATCGCAATTTACACTAATCCTGCGAAAAAGGAATTTTTGCAGAAGGCAAACACGTGTGGGTCCGTTTCCTTATATATTTAGAGAGGGGTCAACAAATGGTGTAAGTCACACACCTTGGCAAATATAATTCCCCACAATAACCTTTCTGAAGGAGATCCGCTCGCACCCAAAACAGTTTGACAACTTTTTTGTCTCACCTTCGAAACTGTCTTCACTGGAGTCACTGGCTTCAAAACGTTGACATAAATCAAGATTTTTCAGTATAGTTTTTTTCTATTCTTATTTATTTTAAAGCTTGTTTGCCTTGATCAAATTCTATCCTGTATATCAGAACAAAAGTTATCCTATATACAATTTGAATATATGGCGATTTTTATTTACAATAAACAACTCAGAAAACCCATCTAGGAGAAGCCGACTTTAAATTAAAAAATGACCTCAACCGTTCAATTCTACTACATTTTAAATATGTTTAATTTTTTTGCGGATGTTTTAAGTAAAATTAAATATTTATTTGCCGCAAACAAATCGGTTTGTAAAAACTCGTATCAAACTATTTGAAAGCATAAAATGGAAATTGAGTTATTTGTTTTATAAACAAACCTATTAAATATTCATTTTAACTTGTAAATATTAACTTCCATCCATTATCGCACTGCATTGTTTACCATTCGACCCTGCGACCCGCTGCTATAATTGTAATACACTTATTTTCATCATGTAATTTATCTTATCAGCTTGTCGTGCGGTCAGCCATTCACAATCAGTGAATGGACATTCAAATTTAAAAACATATACGATTTTTCGAAAGGAAACTTTTTTGCGGCATATTCTTTTGAGGTTTCCGTTGAAAATTAATCTTGAGTCGGATATCCAAGGGTTTGCTGCTGTGAAGTAATGAAACAAGCCATTAGCGATGAAACGCCCTTTTGTACTGATAAACGGTCCCAACTTGTAAGGATTTCCCCTCGAGATTGACTAGATAATCGCGCCGGTTTAATTTTCCGTAATCTCTTGCCGCTGTAATTAACGGCTGCTCATAAAAAAAACTGCGGGGAATTTCTCTTTGTTGCACAACAAAAAAATCACCTGACAATTTCTGGGAATCGGTGAGATTTGTTACATTTAGCGCGCATCACTTTTATGTGAAATCATTGTGCTGCAACCGCTGCGACCACCGAATTTTTTATTTCCGTTGACACGTCTGGCTTTGCGCAATATATAATAATTTCGTGCTGATCGAGTTTGTTTCCACTTGCGAGGTGAGAAGGAAAAATAACGACGTGCTGCGATGGCGCCTCTCGAATCACCTCAAGTACGTGTGCGCCGGTAATTTGGGCCGGGACTTGAAGGCTTATGTCTCTGTTAGTCATGGAGTGCTAATCTTATCAGCCGGCGGGTGAATACTCGCGAGAGGAATGCGACCGCAGTGTTTCAAAAAGTGACAGGGACTTACACTTTCATTTAGGTCAAATTTGGTCCACAAATTTTTGTTATCAAAATTAAATTAATTTTAGTATAAAAAAAGCATAAGATGTTATTTATTTTCTTAATGATTTTTTCTGGGGGGCTTAAATAATTATAACTAAACTCATAAATTAGAAAAGCGAAAAAAAAACACCACCAAAATTTGGGTTTCTACATTTTAAATTTAAATGAGATAAATTTTGTTTGGAGAAGTTGACACTCGAGGAGATGATTATGGAAATGAAGAAATCGGGCTTTTCCTCGTTAAATTTGTGTAATTTTTAAATTTTGTTTCATTTATATTTAATGCTAATTTGATCTGCAATCGAAAAGTATAAAAGTTTAATTGCTTCCGTGATTGTTGCAGGTGTTCTCTTCTTACTCCTCTCTCGGCCTGTTGCTGCAGTCAATTAGGTGAGTGCTTTTATTTACTTCCACACCAACACGTTCCCCATTGTGGTCCTCGTCGGTACCGCCTGATGGCGCCACCGTGCGGCCGCTTCACGTGGTGTGCCATTGCGTAACCTTTGGGGGGCACGTGGTACGCGAGCCAAAAGTAAACAACGCGATGATGGGCCTCTCGTCTGGCCCAGTGACCCCGATATCCATCTTCCTGAGTGAAAGTGTCGCGCAATCCGCTGCCCCTCCATTGTTGGACATTGCAACAATGCCTCGCCACGCCATTCATTCCAAAACCGACTCTTTTCTTTGCACACCCCCGCAATACCTTCCGCGCGTTGTTTCAAACCTGGACCGCGGTACCTCGCGTCTCGTTTGAAATTCGGCGGGAATTGCGAATTCATGCAAAATTGCGAGCAAGATATTTGTAAAAGGCGACGATTTTCTTTGATTTTCTCGGAAGTAAAGTCACAAATGAATTAGCAAACTGTCAAGTGGTTTGCAAAAACACGCATAAATTTTACACGTCTTGATTTTAGAAAGTTATGTAGCGAAAATACCACTGACCAAGCACGTTGTGTTTTTTTTTTACATATTTCAATGACCAAAGTATGATTACTTCAATGATACTTTCAATTTATCAGATAAAATATTTCAAATATCTTTTCATTGGATAAATTAAGGGAATGCGTTAAATGTAACCAAATTAATAATAGCAACCTTTGAATTATGTAGAGAACATTATGTCATTACGAAGAGAAATTGTATTTGGAAAGAGTTTTCGAGCATTTTCCTCATTCAAGTGCTCAACAATTTGCTTGATCTTTCACTCTTGCAGGTTGGATGGGTGGGTATTGGATAAACGGAAGATCAAAATATTTGCAGATACTTGAAAACTTTCTAATGAACGCGACGGCGGCGTCAGTGAATCGCTGCTGACCTTACGATTGCTTAGCTTAGGGAAACACAAATCTATTATCAAGTAGCGGCGCTCGCAGAAACATTTCATAAAAGATTCTTTTCATTTCTGAAATCAAGCGTGACTGTGATTATAAGAGTTGGAATCGAATAATTATGGCCAATTACCCGGATTTAAAACACGTGTTGACCCGACCTGTTAGCAAAGAGAGCTTTTATTAAAAGTTGAGCGCTTTTGCTTTCATGGAGAAATGCCCTGTGCCAGCCTGGGGAACTAAAGAAAGAAACTATTAGTATTATAGATTCATATTTATAAATAAACTAATTTTCCCTTTTCTTGCAGCACTTTTGTCATTGCTGCCATTATTAAAATAATTGATAAAATTAATGATAAAATCACTCTGATGAGACAAATTCATTGAGTGGTTTCATTGTTTTTTCGGCATCATAAACTTTAATTGCCCATTACCAACAAGCTCAATCAATAAAAATAAATGTGAGCAATAAATTACTAAATGAATTAAAAAAAATGCACCGACGACCTTATTGTTAGTATAAGTGAAGAAACTCTTCGTTGCTCAACAACAAAGGGTTTTTACGAGTTTCTTTTTCCCAAGTTAAAAGAAAAACGAATGAGCAATAACAGGAAGGTAATGTGGCGTGCGTCAACAGCTGGATCTGTGTGCGCTCTCGAGATCTTGCCTGCGACGCTTCGAGGAGGTGCAGCCGTAGCTAGAAGTGCCGCAATCAGCCTGGCCAAGGTTCCGACAGCGGTCGACCTTTGACTACGGAAAATCATTCAATGGCGAATCTATTGCTTCCTATGACCGCATTTGAATGCCGGCCAATTCATTATAATAGACAATAGCAGAAAAAATTGCACGCTAATTAATCATTTGCGCACCTGAATCGGCGTTTTTACACTTCCGAGATCGACGGACCTTGCAAAGCGACTGCACTCGCAGACTTGTCTATTTTTAGCACCTTTCGCATTATGAAAGGAAAATGTGTGCGTGCGTTCAAGTTAACTGGCCCCGAGAGAGAAATCCACCTGCCGCGACCGGTGCTACTTGAACCTCATTTTAAAGGAAAGCTTTCTTCATATGCATGTTAAGAAATATAAATAATTTATCCGTTCGGTGCATGCAATTGGGGCTGATCGGCTGTGAAATCAGATGATTTTATATTTCACCTGTAGTCGGCGCGATCGGGTGACATAACTAGCATAATATTCACGCCCATCAGGGTTTCTTTCTTTTTTTCTTTCTTTGTTTCGACCTGAGTGGAAAATCACTCAGATAATATTTTATTCCAGTGCTGCTGTGACCCTGAAAGGATGCGGTTTTTCCTCCCGACTGATTCACCGTTTCTAGAATTTTCCCGTAGACACGCGTTGTATAATTATTGCAAATGATCATTTAAAGCCCGTTTGTATTGAGATGCAAGTCCAGACTGGAAATTAATGCCTGCGTCTATTATTCGGAGCACACAAGATTATTCGCCTCCGATAGTCGCCTTTGACGGCGGCAGTTGCTATTCCGCCGCGGCATGAGATGCATATTTTCTATTCACTTCCTACACGCAAAGCAGAGCTTGAATTGGGAATCGCAGCTCGGCTGCTTTTGTTACACCAAGGATTTTTTGCTTGGCTTGCGTCAAGGCTTCCTGGATCGGCACGAAAAGTGGCAAAAACTATACCATTTGCTTATTTGACAAGAAAAAGACGCACCAGGATGAGCTGTGCAAAATCTCTGCATCGTCACAAAACTAATTTTCGCTGCCGTAATTTGGCGTCCCTCATTCGAGGAAAATGAAAAAAAGGGATACAATCAAAGTTAATGTTTGCCGGGGTCAAAAATCTTTTCTGCAAAATTTTTTCTCACAGCAGCCAAAAATAAACCATCACAAACGTGAATGATGTCAGCAAAAAACATCAATTTTTTAATGGAATTCATAATAATTGTGTGGTTTCTCCGAATACATATTTACCTTGCCTGAAAATAATATTAAAATTAATTCTAAATATATCTAAAAAAAATTCAAAATTCTCTTCTATAAAAGAAAATGTACGCTTCAGAACTCTTGGCTTGTCAAAATCACGATCCCATGAATTTTAAATGCATCTATTTTTATAAACCTCTAAATTAAAAATAATGATTAGCTCTCAGAAGAAGAAAATTGCTAAGGATGTGATAAATTTGGTTCCTATCATTTAATACATTCAAGGCTGTCACACTCGGGCTAGGAAATAAGATTATCTTCGGTTCTGAATCTTCCATTCGAGCGACCGAAAGTGCGTTTAAAAATTGTAAAACTCGCGACGCGAAACTAATCGGAAGGAATAACATTCTTTCAGCAGTGAAAAATGAAATGACTGCCGCAGCTTCCGCGACTTTTTGCTGCAACGAGATTTCCCAAAGCCGCGAATTCGGCGAAGCGCGCGTGACGAATTAAATTGTGTATACCCGCAAACAATGAGAGGAAGATTATCACGAATCAGCAGAGTGTAAAGCTTTGGAGAATTATAATGAAGCTCACATTTTTATATCTCGGGGAGTGATCGTTTAAAAATCAAGGCTGCAGCAGCACTTTGACGATGGTCAGCCTCCGCAAAAAAAAATTTGCCAAATGAGCGCAGTGCGAAAATCTCATTATTCACATTTTTCAAGATCCGCATTATTTTCTGAAGGTGACATTGCCGAATTCAAGAGCAAAAAAAGCAATTCAAAATCTCCTGCATCACGGCGAAAATTATTACTATTTTTTTCTTCTTCAGGTAGTTCAAAATTAGTCCCTCTCATCAGGTGCAGCGTCATTAATGTGCTCGATTTTCCTTCTTTCGCATACGCGCTGTGATCGTGCAATTATACTGAGTTGCGAAGAGTAAATATATGAGAATCTGCGCGACCCTTGGCACTGGTCACCCACCTGAAGCCTTGCAGCGAGCCTTGACGTCGAAGAGAGAGATCGTCAATCCGAGTCCGTCGGCCGCACAAAGGGGGCGTGAAACAGCATAAAAAGCGCGTGGAAACCAGGCAAGAGCTGTGTTCGCCGGAATTAGCGAGTGATTGTGCGAAAAGCAGAGATGAAAAAAGGCGAACCTTGAACGAGCGTCATTGCGTCTGACCGAGAGCAAAAAACGAGTGCAAACAGAGGAGCACACCTGCGACAAAAAAGGACGTCAGCGATGGAGAGATGCGAATTGACGTGGCCGACAAAGAATAAGAAGCTGATCCGTCAGCGGACCTTGCACTTGTCTCTCCCAGTGTCAAATTTGTGCCTGTTCATTTTTGACGCACACTTCCCTGTGTGTGTGGTTTCCTCTGTTTTGACAGGGGGCGGCAATTTTTTATTTTTTTTTTATCGCGGAAACTTGAATGGTCATTCGATGATTCGCAAAGGTCCTTTATTTATTGATTAGGGTCGGCCAAGGCAATAAAAAAGCTCCTGGAAATAGGACATTTTCTAGGGTGACTGACCAAGCAAAACCACAAATCACAATTAATAAGCATTTTTTTATAACGAGCTTTGATTTCCCGCGGAATAGAAAACTGACGAAAGAAAGAAAAAACGACAAACAATACCACCGAGAAAATTCCTGCGAACGAGGCCTTCAAAAGATTGGTTGTTAATGCGTCATAAAAGACAACTGTGGTTGAATTGATGTCTTTTTCTCAAATTATAGTTTGCAAGCAAAAAATTCTTTTCCAACTGTGTCCAGAAAACCCGTTCGAAGGCGAAAAAGTCAAATATTTAGAGATGCCTCCATTCAATTCCAAACAAGTAAAAACCCACTAGTCTTTTTCTTTTAAAAAGCCCTTCTAATTTTTAAATAAGCAGTAAAGCTCTTACATTTTTTGAACACAACATCTAACCAACCTTCCAAATGTAAAACTTCATTTTGGTTTTAATGGTAATTTTTACATCCCAGAAACGAAAACATGCCATTTTGGTTTGCAAATATGTTAATAAGAGGGACCTATAATTTCAGATAAAAATTCCAAGTACTTTTCCGGGAAATTGGATTTTCGTATAAAAAAGTATATATTTAAACAAATTCGGAGGAATTTTTTCGCTCGGTTTTAGAAATGCACGAC